TCGAGTTCTGATTGCAATGATTAGTAGAATTCTAAAGACATCACAGAGTGTGTGTGTATATGTATTTAAATATTTAACTAACAATAATAAAAATAAAAAAATAATTATCTTACCCATTTACTGATCCGTCATTTTTGCCTGTCCCATCAACATCCAACTGTATGCCCGCCCAAAGGCCAACCTTAAAGTGAGTTGTGCCTTGGAATTTAAGAGTGCCTACAATTCCAGCTGACTCTACTGCGACTCTGCTGCCGACTCGTATTAAGAGCGGGTTTTTTGTGATCCAGAAAGGTTGACGGGCGGCTAGTTTGGCACTTGGCGGGGGAGTTGTGAGGGAGGTACGGGTCGAAGAAGGATTGTTGTGGTGATATTGAGGTGAGAAAGGTGATGTTGGGGCCTCTATTGAAGAGTCTGATGCACGCGATCGAGATTGTGTTTGAGATGGTCGAGGGAATGAGGGAGAGATGCGCATTGGCTGTCTTCGTTGGACATCGTATGTGTCTTTACGGGGCTGCTTAGGAGAAAGTGATCCAGTTGCCGTTGGTGTTGTGTACATGGCAAAGAACTGTTTACAGAGAAGAGGGAAAGGCCTTCGCACGAGCGAGGAGGGGAAAACATCTTTGAAGAGATTATTCTTATGGCTCCTGTCATGCGATGATACCGAATTGGTGCTACGCTCATGAATGGAGTTCAAACTCGAGCACAGAGACACAAAGCGTTGTCAGGGATCTCATTCACTCTCTCTCTCTCTCACACACACACTTGAACACATATTTTTTTTTTCTTCTTTACTTTCATACCCCCCCCCCCCCCCCCCCCCCTTCTCCCCCCATCACCCTTTTCTCTCTCCCCCACCTTTCACCCTTTCTCCCCCCCCCTCTTTATCTTTTATTTTATTTTATTTATTTATATATATCCTTCTTTCCTCCCCCCATATATTTAATTTCCTAAAATAGACAAAGGCAGTCTTTAGGGTGACCATCTTTTAAAAATAGATAAAGAGTATGAGTAAATCTGAGTGAGTGAACAGGTAAGATAGACAAATAGAGAGAGACATATACATGTGTGTTTGTCTTGGTTTGTAAAGTAAAACTAATAAAAGTAAGAAAACCCTTGTAAATACCAAGTCACTAGAAAGTATTGACGCTTTAAAAAAAGAAAAGAAAAACATATATATATATATATATAATTTATTTTGGTTTCTTTATGAAATATACATAAGATGGTCTTTAGAGAATCTCCCCAAAAGACCAAGAGAAAGATAGAATAATAATAAAAAGGGTAGGTCGAATGGGCGGACACCCAAGGGAAGGATGTCACGAAACGAACTGTTAACCAATTAGAGACAAGTGTGATTTTATAGTACACGTGTACTGGCTCTGAGTAGCAAAATAAAATAAAATAAAAAATAAAATCTTTAAGCTGGCCCCCTCCCTCTTTCAGAAACCACTCTTTTTTTTTTTATATTTTATATATTTTTTATTTTCTACTACACCTTGACCGATTCTATTTTACTTTCTTCTTTCTTCTCTCTCTCTCTCTCTCTCTCTCTTTCGCCATTCTGCATTCGCATGTTATAACCCATCCGCAGACCAAAGCCCATCTCTCTCTCTCTCTCTTCTCTCTCTCCTCTTCTTCTTCTTAACCTCATCACCATTCCAACCATCTTCGTTTCTATATTACACCTCTTCCCTACCTCTTTATCAATCTGATATTATCTGATCTTTTCCCTTTACATCTTTATCTTTATCTATATTTTTCCTTTTATTTCCTTTTATTTTATTTTATTTTATTTTATTTTACTTCTTATATATATATTGTCTTTGTTTATATACACACATACACATATACATATATTACTCTTCTCTTTTTATTATCAAATTTGTAAAGATGACCACTCGAGCTGTTACCATTCGTTCAAAGTCAGGCGCCAACCCTTGCACAAACAATTCCAGCAATATGGCTGTATCATCTGCACCAGCGCTTTCTACACTTCCCTCCAAACCGACTAGCAAGAAGTCTAACAAACCAAAGGCATCCCAGCCACGGTCAGCGGGATCTTCGAATGGAAAGAAGCCCAGATCTAACAACAGCAGAAACCAATCGTCGTCTTCCTCTCCGTCATCGTCATCTATTTCATCTTCTTCTGTTTCTTCTATTTCTATTTCTATTTCTAATGTAAAGGGTGGGGCAGCAAATGGACATCCTATACAAGCACCCCCGCAAAGAGCGTCAGCGTCAGCGTCAGCCTCAGCCCCAGCCACGCCCCAGCAGCGCCGCACTGTTATGCCTGTGAAGGTGCGCCGGATGGAGCGTCGCAAGGATATTGTATCTATGACCGATGCGCTCCAGAGTGCACAGGTGGATTTACTCAGCTCCAGCCCACCCACGTCATCAGCCGAGTCCGAGGACTCTGACGCACAAAACAAGCGAAAGTCTCACAACAACAACAACAACAATAAGCGTCAAAATGCCAATCAACATCGTCGCTCACCTCAACAGCCACCTGCCCCATCCGCCTTCCCGCCTCTTCAGAAGAAGTCTACCGGTCTGCGTTCTCGCCGTCGGTCCAGCAGTGCTGTTGATGTGCGTAGTCAAGTGTATGCCGGTCCTACCTTTAGCAATGCACCTGCCCCAAGTGCACTTCCTATTCCTGCCTTCACTTCTCCCGAACCTGCCCGCCACCGTACTGTGTCGCTTAACCTCAATCTCCAACCTAGTGTAGCATTACCCTCGTATTCTTCAGTAGTAGTCAGAGAAGAGGATGAAGATGACGAAGAAAACTACTATCATCCTCACCAGCAGCAGCAAAATCATCATCATCATCACCAACAACAACAACAACAACAGCAGCAGCAACATCATTCTCAGCATTCTCAGCACAGTATTTTCAGCATGGATCCTTTACCTCATCTCCAGCAACAATCCATTGAACTCATGAACCTCCTCACACCAACTCTCCCTCGCAATGCCTTCCCGGCCAGACTCAGGACTTCCCATGACTTTAATACCGACCAAATGCTGTCCGAGATCCAGCGTGGCCTTCGTTCTATGCTCAAGATCGAAGCCTAAAACCCAACAAAAGAGTCATCTTTTTTATCATCAAACTTTTGCATCTTGTTTATTCACTTTTTTTTTTTCTTTCTTTAAAAAAATCATTCTTCGCATTCGCATTCTACCCTATCTTTTTTTATTTTATTTTTGCTCTTCACAAATCTCTCTCTCCAGCCATCTTTCTTTCTTTCTTTCTTTCTTATTCAATTCCCCCCCTTTTTTTTATATTTACTTTTCTTTTCTTTCCTTGTTTTACCCCCCCCCCCCCTCCTTTCTACACAATTTCTCTTCAAATTTCATCAATTATTATTTTTTATCCTTTACCCCCCTTTACCTTTTTTACCTTTTTTTTTTACCTTTCCACTCCAATCTCTCTCTTGTATATTTACATTACTTTCTACCTTTATTATTTCCCTTTATTCTTTGGCTTGTCTATTTTTTTGTGTTTTTGCAAAGCATTGCGCTTATAGTTCTTTGTATTATTCTTTTCTTCTTTTATATTCTTTCCTTTTTCTTTCTCTTCTTCTTCTTCTTCTTCTTCTTTGTCGGGTGTGAGAATGGCTTCTTTATTTTTAAATTTTTTTTCGGTGAATACACAAAGTGTATTATTTTGTTTCTTGTCTCTTTAATCTTTTTTTTTTCTTTTTTTTTCACTTTTTATTTTTATTTTATTTATTATCGTTTTCTTTAGTTCTGTCGCCAGCGACAAGTCTAAAGCAATCTTTTTTTCTTTTCTTTTTTTTTAAAAAAAATAATAGTAATAATTATAATAATAAATAAAAATAAAAATAAAAAGAAAGGGAACCTTTTTAGAATGTGTGTGGTATAATATCAATGGTGTAATTTTGATTGTTGTGGGTAAAAATATATATATATATATATAAAATATAAAATAGAAAGAAAAACATTACATTAGATTACATTACATTACATTAGATTACATTATTTGTCTTCCAAATTAAGATTAACATACATTCCAAATTCAGAATCATATACTTTTTTCCTTTATAACAAAATGTATCAATAAAAATTGAATTAAATGCTGTGTAAAATTTGAACATTAAAGATGAATTGCTCAATTCAATTCAATTGAAGCTTGTAAGATACTATAGAGTCATTCCTCAATTCTTAGTGTAAACTAATCAATGTTAGTAACAAAATGGGTCAAGTTAATTATTTATTTATTTTTATAGAAAGTGTGTTATTCTATTCTTTATTCAATAATCAGCCCATTGTGGAGTTTATCTTTTGTATATCTAAACTAAACTAAAATTCTAATCCAATAGTATCCTCTTGTCCAATCAATCAATTACCTATTCCTTTCTTATTTAAGGATATCTTCCAAACCTCATTGTTGCTCACCATCGCATGTGTTGTGCCACCTAGCAAGTCTCGTGCCACACCAATTCAATCTTATATATATATATTACATCTATTCACTCATCCCTCACTCACTCACTCACAAATAATTATAATTATAATTATAATGGCAATAGCAATAACAATTTAGAAAAGCCAATGATAATTGAAATTAGACTGCGGTGGAACGCAAAACCAAAACCTAAAAAGAAAGGTAAATCACATTACTTTTTTTTTGGTATTTTATAAATAGACAGACCTACTGTTTGAAATTTGAAATAAAATAGAACAAAGGGTAACATTTTCTTTGTACTTGTTATGTCAATAGTTTGACACTTGTGTCATGAAAACAATACCAATTATTTAAAAGCGATATGTTCTTTATGATTTATAATAAAAATGATCGTTAAATGAAAGATATATATATAAAAAAAAAGTTGAAAAAAAAATGAAAGGCGCAACAGTCACACCGGGCAAAGAAGGGCGCCGGTATGGGGGACAAGGTTCCGGCAAACAAGTCCTTGGCCGACTGAACTTATTATGGATCAGATAGGGGCATACCATTCGTTCCTCCTCTTTTCGTAACCATGGCAGCCCAAATCTCCAAGAAGAGAAAGGTAAGCATTGTGCGAAAGAGCATAATATAATGAAGCAGAAGATTGGATGCAAAAACGATATCCATCACCTCGGATGGATCATCCAACAAATACCATCGAAATCCACAATATGTATATATATATATATATATGCATATATTATATCTTCATACCCTCCTACCTCGATATTACATATTCTCGATTCTATACATAAAACCCCTTCCTTCCTTCCTTCCTTCCTTCAAGCACAGAAACCAACAAACCTACAGACATACAGAAAACGAAACAAGATTACCAAGACTTACCATTTTTTTTCTTAAATTCTATATATACACATCAAAATCACACTCATCAACATCATCGTCATCATCTATAATCAAATCAACGAAAAAAAAAACATTCTACTCTTTACTTGTGGCATTACCAATATTATAGTTCGTAAGTAAACATAATGACTTTACATCTAATCGCAAAATGCAAAATGCAAAAAAAAACTCATCAATTATACAATTTCTATACAAATTGTATTATTAGGTCGCTGACGGTGTCTTCTATGCTGAACTCAACGAGTACTTCACCCGTGAATTGGCTGAGGATGGCTATGCCGGTGTTGAGGTCCGTGTCACCCCCGCCCGCACTGAGTAAGTTCTTTTCTTTCTTTCTTGGAATGAGTGATATATATATATATATATGTATAAAAGAAGAGAGATGCTGATTGCTGATTAATTATTGTAGGATCATCATCCGTGCTACTCACACCCAGAACGTTCTCGGTGAGAAGGGTCGCCGCATCCGTGAATTGACCTTCCTCGTCCAGAAGCGTTTCAAGTTCGCCGAGAACGCCGTCGAGCTCTACGCCGAGCGTGTCCAGAACCGTGGTCTCTGCGCCATTGCCCAGTGCGAGTCTGTCAAGTACAAGCTCCTCAACGGTCTTGCTGTCCGTCGTGCCTGTTACGGTGTCGTCCGCTTCGTCATGGAGTCCGGCGCCAAGGGTTGCGAGGTTGTCGTCTCTGGCAAGCTCCGTGCTGCCCGTGCCAAGGCCATGAAGTTCAGCGATGGTTTCATGATCCACTCTGGTCAGCCCGCCCGCGACTTCATTACCACTGCCGTCCGTCACGTCATGTTGCGTCAGGGTGTCCTCGGTATCAAGGTCAAGATCATGTTGGATAGCGACCCCACCGGCCGCAACGGTCCCAAGAACACTCTTCCCGATATCGTCACCATCCTTGAGCCCAAGGAGGAGAGAGATGTCGAAGAGCCCATGGCTCAGGATTTCTCCCCTGCCCCCGCCGCTCCTGCTGTTGAGGCTCCCGCTGTCGAGGCCAACTAATTAATTAAAAAATTAAAAATAAAAAATTAAAAATTTAAAAAAAAATGAAATTTTTAATATTTTTTTTTTATAATTTTTTTAAAATAAATGTATATACATTTAAACTTTTATATTTGACTTTTTTTTTTTGGGAAGTTTTTATTCCCATAGCAACCATATTTGCTTATTGTATGTATGTATATATATATGTATGTATGTATGGGGTTTTAGTTGTTAAAGTTTATTAGTAATATTATTTCCTTTTACTCTAGTTAAGCGAACGAACAAGCTGTTTAAGTTTGTTGATATCCTTTACTGTACTCTCATCAAACAGTTGCTTTAAAGAGGTCGATCTAGGTGGCATTTGTGTACGATTTGCTATAGATTTGGAACCAATTGCGGCTTCCATCTCTTCTGATTTGATCTTTGCCTTTGCCAAGATCTTTTTTGGCAAACCAGCAATTCTTGCAACATTCAGGCTACAAGAAATAAAATAAGAAAAAGTTATAGTTACAATGAGAACCTTCTTTATGTGTGTGTATATGATTTCTAGCCCTTTATTTTCTTTCTTCTTGTTGTTGTTGGATTTACAACTTTGTATCAAAATAATACCGTAATTTCTTACCCATAACTCTTTAGGGAAATACCTGGAACCATTTTGTACAAGAATATAACGCTAGGGATATCTAGGATATGAATAAATAACAAAATACATATATAAATAATTGTGTATGTTTATGTGCTTTAATATATCATCTCCCTCTTTATTGCTCACCATTCACATCTTCCTCGATAAAACTCATGTGTCCTGTGGTGGTCGATTCAGGATACTCTTTAGCCAAACCACCCAAGGAAGGATAATGGGTGACAAACAAAGTAATCGATTGGATCTAAATCAACACAATAGCAACATCGATCGGTTCATCCCGTTCCCCCCTTTGGTAGTCAATACACAAAATAGTACTAATAATGGACCTTCTCCTTTTAACATCATTTCTCTTTGTCTTCCCTAAACTCTTTTCCCCTCTTTTTAATTAGTCCAAACCTTTGTAATAAAACGATGCAGGACAGCATAGGCAATAGCCATACCATCGTGCGTACTTGTTCCGCGTCCTAATTCATCTAAAATCACTAGGGATCGTGGTGTTGCTTGCTTCATAATATCTGATGTCTCGTGTAGCTCGACCATAAACGTACTTTCACCTGAAAGTGCATTATCCATTGCACCCATTCTATAATAACAATAAAAAAATAAATAAAGACACCTGCAAGAAACATACGCCGACAAAACTTTACCTCGTGTACACAGCGTCCAGAATACCCAGCTCGGCAGATTCAGCTGGGACATATGAGCCAATCTGGCCCATGATGGAAATCAAAGCAACCTGTCTAATGTAAGAGCTCTTGCCTATGAATAAAGATAGCAAGCAAGCAAATAGGTATTATGTATTCATCTTTTTCTTTTCTTTTTCTTTTTTTTTTACCTCCCATATTAGGACCAGTCAAGATCATGGTTCGATACTCATCCGTCTACACAAATACATAAAATGAATAAGCAGAAAATAAAAATAAAAATATCAGTATTATATCCTCCTCATCCCACACAAATTTCATTAACCCTTTATCCTTTTACCCTTCTTTCAACCTCCTTTCCTTACAATATGTTTGTGTAGTAACTTACATCAAAGTTAATATCATTTGGAATATAGTCTGTGGTTGTAAACTGTTCGACCATTGGGTGCCTTCCATTTTTCACTTTGATCTGAACATGGTCCGAAAATACAGGCCTCACATAGTCTGGTCGCAATGCAGTATCGGCAAGAGACAACAGACAATCTAGCTCAGCCAAACTCTGAACTACGTCTCGGAATACTTCGTATCGATCAGACACAGTCCTAAAAATAAATAAATAAATAAAACGTATATATATATATATATATATTAGTACGGAATTATATGTAGGCATAATTATTGTTCCATTTATAATAATAATAATAATAAAATACACTTTACGTTACGTTACCTTAAGAAATCTTGATATGCATTTTCAGCAGCAATATCAAGTAAAGCTCTGCTCAGTTCTAATTCCTTTAGCTTTTCACTAACAAATCTAGTGTGGAATCGAGAAACAGCCTTTGTGGCGCTCATCTTGACCCACTCAATAGGAACCTTGCTAGCCATACTGTTCTTGACTTCTAATAGATACTGTTTTCATTTTAATAACAATAACAATAACCATAATAATAATAATAATGGTAATATAATAGTTGGATTTATTCTTTTGGTTGTTATTTACCTCTATTCCAGACACATCTACAAACCTCAAGGTTGGAATATTGACATCAACCTTGATTTGTTCCAGATATTCTTCCAATTGGGATCTAACTCTTGCTATATTCTAAAGATACAAACAATTTCAGCTTAACTTTGAGCTGTATAACATATGCGCGTATGTGTGTGTCTGTACTGAAACCACAAACCTGTTTGTGCATGGGTATGTCAGGCCATTGGTTCTCAGATATAAACAAATTATGCTTGCAATTCTTTTCACCAATCGCATTTTGATTCAAGCAATCCTTAAAGTCTTGTGCATGCCGAGCTGTTGGTAAAGTATCAATGATTTTTGTCAGTATTCTAGAATTGAACCTAAATTTTCGCGGATCTAGAGCACCCGAAATTTTAACTAATGCTTCCAAGGTTCCCAACAGTTCTTTCGGAGAAGACTATATACATTTTTTTTTGGTTTGTGTTGTGTTGTGTTGTTTGAAAGCATTAAAGGCAAAAAGATGTTATATATATATATATACATAATTTTCAATCAATAGATACAGAATAAAAATAGCAATTAGTCAAATAGTAGAATAAAATAATAAAATAGTAAAAAAAAAAAAGGAGTTAGAGTAGAGTTTAAGGATAACTTACACGTCCATACTGAATACGACAAAGATCTCTCTCAATGTCAGGTAAATGTTTCAAAAAATTCAATATATCTTTTTTGAGATAATCGTCCGCCTCAACTAGTTCCTCAAGAGCATCTGTACGTATCTTTAGTTGACTAAAAAAAATATAAGCAAAGTAATGCAATACAATGTTGGTCAGACATGCATGCAAAATTATATATATATATATATATAAAATGACTAGTTGAAGGCAAAAGCATTGTCTCATATCGCCTTCCTCTTTCACCTCCCCCAATATATATATATACTCACTCAACGTTAATCAAGGGTCTTCCGACCCATTTCTTTAATAGTCGTTTTCCAAAAGGAGAAACGGTCTTGTCAAGGATGCTCAATAGAGACCCCTTATATGAATTATCTATCGAGTTACGATAGATCTCTAGGTTGGTCATCGTATTTCCGTTCAGAAGCATGTGGCCGCGCGCCGAAAAGTTTATAAAATACTTGGTTAGCTTGATTGAATGATCCAGGCGAAATTGTCTCAAGTATTGAGCTGTTGCAGCCAACGCCTTGCTACAAACAAAGAAAACCCGATAAGCTGATATTAGTTTTTTTTTGGTACTAAAACAACAGGTTTACATACACATATAGTTATAAAGTAATGCACACTTACATTGCAATGTAAGGTAATTCCACAATATCTGAATAGAAGAAACCTGTCAGAGAATGTTAAGGCGTAGATCCCAATATATATATATTATGCTCTCAAAACTAACCACTTTTCCCACTCTCTGAGTTATCCTGATTGCCATGGGCATAAAATTCAGTAAGAAATGACAAGGCAGTGTTGTAATCTGTAGATATCGTTTCATTTTCTGGGATTCTCTCTATACGGGCGCGCTCTTTTGGGGAAGTTGTCCTATCATAGGATTTAATCACAACAAATAACGGATAAAATTAAGACTTTTATTTTAGTTTTAGTAAACACTTACTTTGGGGATGTAACCATGCCAATAATCTTCTCTGTCGGTTTGCTTAGTTTGAAAGGTAGTAAGAGTTCACAGGGTTCGATGTGCAACATGCGAGTCTCTAGTTCACTTCGCATAAACCCATCTTCAAACACGTCGTAAATAACATCGCCTGTGGCAGGATTAACAGCCTAAGATAGCCAATCATCCAATTATGGATAAGTTCAATTAGTTAGTTTTCTTTTTTTTTTTTAAAAAAAAAATTAAAGTAAGAAAATAATACTTGCCACAATAGCCATTGTTACAAGTTCAGACGTCTTATTTTTGCCACGATTTTCTTCTATAATTGTCATCAGATAATTTGAATGTGATGGACCAGACCCATTCTCATCCTGATCCACACCAAAGCCATCAAAAAATGTGCTTTTGGTGTAGAGCTGCTTCAACTCGCGTTGAAAGGGTGCAGACTTATTTGGACCTGCTGATTTTAATGCGGCTGTTTCTGTCTGGCAAACGACCCCAACTTTGTAACCTGCATCCACAAGTCTACAGAAGATATACATATATATATATATAATAAGGATAATAAGTAAAATGGAATTACATAATATTGTATTATATTAAATACTGCTCTAGAGCTGTTAGTACCGATGCAAATGTACTTGGAGTCGATGGACAGGAATAGATGCCACAGTAAAATTATGATCAACCCAATGTGCAATACGCAACGTACGAGATGCAATCTTTAAGACATAAAGAGAGATAATATACATATAGAAATATGTACATTAGACATACAATATATATATATATATATGGCACACTACATCTAAAACGAGAATAACTTTATATATATAGATTTTATTTTTTACCACAGCATCTTCACCAAAAAATCTGTACTTGTACCCGACTTCGACGGCAAGTAGAACACCAGGATATTCTTCCTTTAGCTTTACTACTTGAGATTCAAGAGGTGTGTATTTAATAGAATCGTCTGTCTTTTTAAGGCTCAAAATCTTGTTCGATTGCTTCAAAACCGGCTTAACATCGGCAACGTTTGTGTGGTCTGACATCTCTACGTCGCTGCTACTTTCGTTGTCAGCCATAGAATGCTGCAGTAGCCTTTCTTCTTTTTTCGTATTCGTATTCGATCTTTTACTACTTATTTGCTGCCTTGGCTCTTCTTGGTCTATCTGGTTTTGCTTTCGTTTTGTTCCTTTTGTGCGATTGATCTTTATGTCGCCAAAACTTGACACAAATTGATCGTGATTCTTTTGATTTTCTGCACTGGGCAACATTGAAGATTTGCTCAAAGCAGAAGGACTCTGAGATCCTGTTGGCTGGATCTGATCATTGACCGATTTAGAGTGTGCTAGAGTAGGAGTTGTAGGATTCAAAGTTGTTGATTCTAAAATGTAATGAATGCAGTCTTTATACCGGATCATACATGTAGCTTTTACAGCATTTCTAATTTTGCAGCTGGTTTGCTAAGGCTATTTGTATAATTTTATACCTGGTGTATTATTTTTGGGTTCTTGAGGGACCCTCTTAAAGAAGGTCCCAAGCTTCATTTGTTGCTTTTGACTCATGTTGGCATGTGTTAATGAAGTATTGACAGCTAAAGTGAATAAGTTTAGTACGCACCGTACAAACAGTCACTTTATGCTTTGACTTGAAAGTACATACTCAATTATCAAAGTATAAAGTGTTTTCCTTTTCGTATCTAAATAATGTATAATTGCGACTTGAATAAAAGTACAGACTTTTGACAGAATATTTGGTCGTTTTTAACCCCCCACCAAGACTCTTCAACTTATATTTTACCATTAAATTTATGATAAAAGATAGTAAAGTTCTATAAATCTCTGATACTCTCACAGATAACTGTATAAGGTATGATAGATAAACTGAGAAAAAATTGAAAAGGCTTTAATAAGAGATTGGTCTAAATTTACGCATCTTAAGTTCAGATAGACGATTTTGCATATTAAGGCAAAACGTCATACAAGTCTCTGCGCTTATTGCTTTCCATGTTTATTGCAAAGCATTTTCCAATTGTCGCAGTGTGGTAGGCTGAGGTCGTCTTGCGCGGATTTTTTTTTTATCAAGAAGACCCCAGATATTTTCAATTGGACTTAAGTCCGGACTGTTAGGAGGCCACTCCAAAATCTTCAATCCAAGGTCTTTCTTGAACCTTTCTGCTAAAGTAGCCTTATGATAACGCGCGTTATCTTCTTGATAAAGGTAGTCTCCCTTTTCTACATTACGAAGACTTTGGTAGAAGGGCACGAATTACTTCTCCAGAACCTCATTGTACAATGGGGCATTCACGTTACCCTTAAGCATAACCAGTGGCCCGACTCATCCAGACCAAATAGATCCCCAAAGCGATACAGAACCTCCATTTTCTGGAACCTTTGGAGTCAAGCAGTCTGAATGATATTTATCTCCTGGTTCTCGCCATACATGACTACGACCATTTTTCTTGAAAAGGGTAAATGTTGCCTCATATGTCCAAATGACAGTATCCCACTGTTTTTTCCAACCTTTTATTTTTCTATACCAAGCGTGACGTTTGGCAATGTGCTCCTTAGTTAGAAGAGGCTTTGACTTAGTTACACGGTAGGCTAGATTCATCTTGTGCAATGTTCAGCTGATGGATTTTGTACTAACTTTTTTCCAGTCTTTTCCTTAATTAAGTCTGTTCTCCCAACCAAGTTTTGATGGCGATCCCGTTTGACATCCAAAAAGATATGTCTTTTATCTCTAGCAGTTAATTTAAAAGGTCATCCTGTTGTCTTCTTATTAGTAGCAGATCCGGTTTCCTTGTATTTTTTTATGATATGCGTGGCAGTAGTTCTTGATATTCCCTTTTTCCCCACAGTCAGAAATCCTTATGCCATCTTCATGAAGTCCAATTAAGATCCCTTTTTAAACTTCTGCAAGCCTTTCGAAATGACTTGTGAGTTTTACTGCCTCGTTGTCTAGGCATTATATTAAAAGGTTTTTATTGAATTTAGCAGATTGAGTAAAGTGAAGTGTAAGGGTGTCTTATGAAATAAATAACGGAAATATAAAATGACCGAATTTTCTGTTCCGCGACTGTATATTATCTTTATTATTTTTTGTCTTTCTTCTAATGAGTACAGATGATTATATATATATATTTGCTATACGAAGAAGACTTGCAATATTTTACAGAATTATATTAGTTATTAGTATCGTCTTAATTGATACCATATATTTCTTTGACAGTATTAACTCAATTATTAATTTATTGATTGATTTTACACGACTAATTTTATAGCTTAAAAAAACAAGAAGAAAAAGATGGTTACTCTACACTAGTATAACATTACAGGGTTTTACTAAGATGGTATCATAGACGGTATACAGTACTGTTGAATGCAAGCAATTGCACCAACAATACAGACAATAAATACTGAATGAAATATTGTTCTTCGAAGCGCAAGTCCTTCTTTTCCTTGCAAATTAATTGTCGATGCTATCGTGGACATATTCTGAGGAGAGATCATTTTTGACGCAATAGCACCACTTGAATTTGTGGCTGCCATCAGTATTCCCGAGAGTCCAATCTCTCGGGCAGCAACTACCTGTAAATTTCCAAATAATGAATTGGCAGATGTATCACTTCCTGATAAGAAACATGCTATCCAACCAAGCCAGGCTGAGAGAAAAGGAAAAGCTGGGCCTACAGAAGAAAATGTCAACCCGATGGTGTAGACAATACCTATTATCAGTTTCAAACATTAATATAAATAAAAAGACGGGAAAGAAATACTGGGTAAGAATACACACACACACACACATATATATATATATATATATATGGTTTAGGTAACTCGAGACTTATAACTGGAAAACTTGCCTGAATAATTGTAGAGATAAGCGAATCCCATTATAAAGGACACAGTAATAATCGGACGGTAGAGTTGGATGAATGTCTCCCTAAGAGCCATCCAAAATATACTAGGATTCGATCCATTCCACAGTACGACGCCACCAAAAATAATTGCTGAAATAAAAATAGCTGTTCCAGTACCTAGTGGTTGAAATATCCATACAGCATCATAGTTTTTTCCGTAAAGTGTCAAGTAAACCTATTTTGTTTTCAATATATTATTAGGTATATTACCACCTTTTTGTTTATATATATACACATATATATAAGGATAATAAGATACATATATGTATATATACCCACTTTTTGATGGAGAGCTGGCCATTTAACATTGACTTGCCCTACACTGGATACATGGGCAAATGTCCAGCTTCAAAATATCGTTGACAAATGATCAGCTATTATTAATCATGTTTGTTTTTTTTTTAAAAAAAAAACAAAAAAATGACAGAAAGGGTATTAAAGACTTACATAAGTACAACAACTACAATAATTGTCCAGGGAGTCCAAGCCAAAATTACTTGCTTTCGAGTAATTGCCTCGGTATCAGATATTTCGGATCCTTTTTCAAGGTTTGTATTAGGTAGTGTAGGTATGTATTTTCCACACTGGTTCGTCTTTTCTAATTCCGTGATTTTCTCGTCAGGTTTCTTTGGTAATTGAGTCATAATAGCATGGTATTCTGATCGATAAACCGGTTTCCACATTTGAACAAAGGCAACCAAACATCCCAGAGACACCAGACCGGCGATTAAGTCAGGTAATTCTGGTCCTACCAGATTAGCAAATATGGCCTTTTAAATAATAATGTAAATATTAACAATACGCTCTCATTCTTTATTTAAGAGCATTTGCTTTAATCCATTACCTGTGTAGCAGCAAATGAAAGACCAGAAACCAGAGCCATTGGCCAGCACTCAACAACACCGGCTTGGACGCCTAGACAAAGGGAATTAGAGAGATATTATATATATACGTAGCTATTTATTTATTTATTTATTTATTGGTAGAGATAGTATAAAAAAAATAAAGGGTCAATATTTACCTGCGTACATTCCAAGAACATATAAAGGAAGGAATACACTAAGTAGTGGGAGCTGCCGGCCTATCATGGCAGAGAGTTTCATTGCAGGAAGACCAGTGATGGTAGCCAAGGTAGTGATTGGAGTACCAAGAGCACCAAATGCCACTGGAGTTGTGTCAAATATCAAAGTATAAACCAATGCATCCATAGGATCAAAGCTATAAATCGTAAATGATGAGCAATAGAATCTTGAATCCTCTTTATATTATATATATATATATATATTGTATGCTTTCTTCTTCTCACCCCAATGAAACCATCAATGGGGAACAAATTGCACCAGGAACGCCAAACCCGGCAACACCTTATTTGTATTGTTGTATTTCAAAAGAAATGAATTGAAATGGAGGGAAAGGTTAATATACAGGAATACTTCTTTATAGCTTTTATACCTTCCAATACTGATCCAAAACAATATCCAATTATGAGCAAAATAACACGTTTATCGGGTGGGGTGTAGACTAGCATCCAGCGACGGAACATATCGAATATGCCCGAATACACTGATATATTGTACAAGAACATTGAGCTTACTACGATCCACATAATTGGCCAGTTTGCAAACACAATCCCGTTTGCTATTGATGAAAATGCTTGTGCTGCTGGCATTCCCCATCCAAAAATAGCGATAAAAATACTATATATATATATGCAAAGTAAAAGAAATAAGCACATTAATCTTGAATTATACTTTATTTCTATGTTTATGCTTATGCTTATGCTTATTCTTATAAAACTTGCCATATGACCAACCCAGCCAGTGAAGCAAAATGAGCTGGTATACGGCATATACCAAGAAGAACAAAAACGAGTAATAGAGGGATTAATCCAACAAAAAATGAACCAATCAAACTGTCACCAATAGGTGCCAGTGGTTGAACAAAAACACCGGTTTCATAAATAGATGGCGGTACAGTAGGAATATTAACCATACGAAGATAATAAGCTATTTGTGTATATGAGTGTGTATGAGTGTGTATGGGTGTGTTTGTACAAATTCTCTATAGAATGATTAGATTATAGAAAAGCAGAGTATGAAGCTAAAAGAGTATAAGATGTAAATAGGAATTAATGGCTTTTATACCTTTTTTTCTTTCTTTCTTACATTTAAACTACGGAGAATTTTATATGCTTATATATATATATCAAAAGAATGCTGCAAGATAACATACATCCCACTTTTATTTGCAAATGCAACAAGGGTTGATATTCTTCTTCTTTTTAAAGATAAGAGGAGGGGGGGGGGGCTAATTGATAGGTTAAGGATATGTGATTATCCATTTTCCCTTGTATTGTGTTGTATACTTCTTGAATCATGTTTGAATGTATAATGCACCGTCATTTTAAGAGTGCATCATAGCCTTGTCTGTATACCTGATGGCGAGAGTTCGTATATCACAAAATGCTTTCATCTAACAATAGATAGTATTTCAGCCCATCATTGGATATGTAAAACTTGGACAGATTAATAAAAAGTTTGAATGGATTGGCAAATAATATGATGCTGCAGGTGCACATCAACACAAGTTAAGTAGGAAAAATAAAGGTGTCTCTTACACTCTTTCCCAGGAGGGAAGCATATAAGACAAAAAAAGGGGGAAAATATCACATAAACTTTTTTTTAAAGTAAAAAAAAAAAAAAAAAAAAAATAGTGGATGCCAAGCCTACCATTAAAGTTTAAATATAGAGAAAGAATACGAATATCTGAACTTTTGAAACAATTAGTCCACTGGATGAAGTAAGCACCATTAATGTATTATAGGTGTTTAGTATTCTTGGCAGTAGTGCGGTACAAATAAAAGAAACTAAAAAAAAAATATAGAAGGATTCGACAAAGTTCACTATGCACACACAGACTCGAAACAGCAAAATATTGAAATATCTTTATGGTATACCAATTGTCATGCCTCCATCAGATATATAAGATCCCCTGTCTCGATACCCTATCTCATAAAAAAAAAAGATTTGTAAACTTTTTGTCAAGAAGCTTTAAAGCGTAATATTCTTCTACTTAGGTCTTAAAGTTTAATGTTATATTTTTCAGATATTATCCATCTAGAGGCAGCTTAGTACCCTTTTTTTCTCTATAGATAAAAGGGAGAGATATGTATGTATTTAAGCTTGGACCACTCTATTTTTCCCAAGTACTTGTTTAAAGTTAATCTGTGCTATTTTGTGTTCACAGATGGCCCACGAGATCTTTATGTTCAAAGCTTTGCTTCATATAAATCATTTTGAAAGGTGCTCTAACCAACGAATATTGTGCTTCTACCTGTTAGGAAAAAAAAGCCTTTATTCGATCGATAAATATTTATCAAATACTATCATACTTTTACATTTACAAAGTATAATCTAGATCAAAATATTAAGATAACATTGTTTCAATTGTCTGATAGGATTTTGTTTTTTATTGAAAAATAGAATTGAATACCCAATACTCATAGAATAATAAAAAAGGATGTAATTATCTTGGGTGAGAGACTTACCTTTTTCTACTCTCACATTATATATAACAGCGATTTCCACTTGAATTATTTTGCTTTGAAGATATTGGAGCAATGTAAACAGTTTTTGCAGTGATAAAGCTATAGTAAAAACAAGAAGAATAAGACTAATAAGAAAAAAAACCATATTGCAGGTTAACCAACAAATTTTAACCAGAGTGTTTCAAGACACACAAAGACAATGGTCCGATTTACTATTAACATGCTTTTTTTTTCTATCACTGCAAGACCTCGGCTATTTATTTAATTGTCTTTATTTTGCAAGCGCCTTGGGCTTTTAAGAGGAGTATGCATGCATATAAACACATTGGTAGTCATCTTCAATAGCACAACACAGTTGATTTTTTATTTGTAAATGATAATAATAATAATAATAATAATAATAATAATAATAATAGTAAACTAATCAATGGGACATTTCTCAAAGTACAACCTATTGCTAGTTTTAATAATTATAGAGAATTATTATTATTCTCATATGGTTATGCAAGTTACCCGGATTTTTGGGTCATATTTGACCTCTGATAGACTTCTAATGTATCAAGAGGATGAATTATATTATATTCACAGATATGTATGACTGAATATTGTATTTTTGGTCCAAGATGTTCAATAGGGTTTGACTCTGGGCTTTATATATTAATCAGCCAGGGTATGTAAAAGAAAAAGAAACAAGACACAAAAAGCTACTTCTTGTACCTTTGTTAGGACCACTGTGTGGCCATTTGCTCTAGGATTCTGAATTATATATTGATCCCAACTTTCCTAAAGTTATTTTTTTTCAAAAAAATATATATACTTCTTTAGTTTGACAGCTTTCTATAATTGTATTTGATCCGAACGCTGCCACTGAAAGACTTTGGAGATTCGTGTAACAATATCCCAATTACATGGTTGACAACTGCAAGTTAAAGGCTATGTCAAATGAAATTATTCTCCAAAAAAAATTGTGGATTAATTATTCATTTTTTGTGTGAGTTCAACATAATAACTAGATTCAATATGAAGACTTTGAAAGAAAGACAAAAATATACAGAAATATTATTTTATTTGATGGGCAAGTCCACATTAAAGGAGTATGTGAAGTAAGTGTAGTACCCAAGGAAGATAAAATCTCAGAATCCTAACTGTGTCAATAAAAGCTTTACATTCTAGTTAACCAACTAATAAAAAAACCTCTTTGACAAATGGCGCATAATTTCAAGTGAATGAAAATGAACGAATCGGGTGGCTTATTTCCAAGGCCACATTTTTTTTTTAAAAAAAAAAGCTGTCCTCTTACCATTTTTTTCACTTCTTTTTTGTCCACCATCCAACATCCATCACCATGTATCTTATGTACTACTTGAACACCGAGGGCGAGCGTGTCTACACTCTCAAGGTAAGAATAAATCCCACAATAAACACATATATATTAGATACCTGAAAAAAAATGATTTTTCTCCTCTTATTTTATTATATATTAAAATATTTCTTTTGTTGTGTATGAGTAGAAGACCGACCCCACTGGCTTCCCCACAAAGTCTGCTCATCCCGCTAGATTCTCTCCTGACGACAAGTTCTCTCGCCAGCGCATTACTATCAAGAAGAGATACAACATCCTCTTGACCCAGCTTCCTGCTCGTGCCCTTTAAATATATGTACACAAATATATAATCCACCACAAAATGAAAAAGAAAGAAAGAAAGAAAGATGGAATGAGATATAAAAAGAAAAAAGAAACCAGGCTCATTCTTTGCGCCTACTTGTAATAAAAGAGCTGAAGAGAGTGTCAAATTGTATCATATTCATTGGGTTGATTTGAAGATTTCGAGAAACTCAATTGATTTTTACGAGACCAGGAAAAGTAGAAAAGAAAAGAAAGAAGATGAGGTTATACAGGCCTGGGTATCAAGAGCAATATTGTATATAGAGACCCATGAATGTATAGTAATGCGAGATATTGAAAGGCATCCGGGGGAAAATGTACACAGTCTGTCAAAGAGAATTTATACGTTGTATTGATTGAAGCTTAAAGAAGTAAAAATAATAGTTATAATAGTAATAAGTGAAAATGAGGTTGCTTTATGAAATACCTTGTACATATTTTTGCGATCTTCTTCTCTTTCTTCTTGTCCGTTCTGTCCATAATTCATCCATTCGCCTCAACTTACATCTCAATATGTACTATTATTTACTGTTGCTTCTATTTTTTGCATGAAATAAAGACTAACATGGCTTCCAGCTTATTATTATTTTTAAAATATTGTTGTGACTGACATGATCTCGCTTTCTCACATTTTTGTAAAAAGAAATCGTTCGGCTGAGACAATAAATAAAAAACAATTGGGCTTTTTTCTCATACAAAAATATACTTAAAACCATCGCTATTCTCTCTTGCCATGGTTCGCCCCGATCGTCGTACTGAAAACACTCAGCTGCGTGCATTTGCAGCATCACAAAACGTTCTCAACAGAGCTGACGGATCAGCCAAATTCGACTTTGGTAATCTATTTTATGCGATCACAACCACAACCACAGACGCTTCTCGCTTAATATATATATAAAGATTTTCTAATGGGGAAATATAGGCAATACCTCTGTTCTCGTATCAGTTGTAGGCCCAGTAGAAGTTCAATTACGCGACGAAAAACTCGATGAAGCTACAGTTGAAGTAGTAGTTAGACCAGCAGTTGGATACCCCTCTACAAAAGAAAAGTTGATGGAATCTATGCTTCAATCCGCATTCGAACCTGTCATTATGGGTGGAATCATGCCCCGCACATTGTTGCAGATCGTCGTTCAGATCGTCAAGGATGATGGAGCGGTAATACACACACATATATACATATACAATCAATATCCTTTTATCCTTTTTTTTTAGAAGAAAAAAATTACATGGAAAAGAAAAGGTCTATCAATATTAACGGCAGATTGAAAAATACGTTATTTAGGTACTAGCAGCAGCTGTAAATGCTGTAACATTGGGATTGTTGGATGCAGGAATTCCAATGAAGTACATGGCATCTGCTCTGACATGTATGATCCACAAGGACAGCCATGACCTTGTTTTGGATCCTACTGCCGACGAATTGGAAGTGAGTAACCTGAAATTATGGAATTATTCTAGATTGCAAATACTAAGTGCATTTTTTTGGGATAGAACGCATTATCTGTTCACACATTCGCATTCGAAAACCTCCACAACACCCCTCATGTATTGTTATCAGACTCAACTGGTCGATTCAGTGAAGAAGAAGTATGTTTCAAATGTGTGTATGTATACTTCAATGTTTTCTAATTTTTACTGTATACATATGTATCTATATATCCGTACAGTATTTTACTAGCCATGATGTATGCTTTGAGGCAGTAGATAAAGTACAAGGATTTTTGCGGACGGCCGTAATTAGCAAAAAAGAAAAAGAGCAACAGCAAACAATTGGTCAATAAAGAGCGATATCTTTTATTTGTGGGACCGGCGTTGAAAGGCTGCAGACTATCACTACCTGTGTTGATTTCGATAGAACATACAAAAAAGATGTTATGACTATATACATAAAAATTAAACTATTGGCGTAATGCATGTGAATAAAGAGAAGAGAGAAAGAGAGAGAGATAAATAGAGAAAGAAAGTACAATTGAAGTGATATTTCTTAGATAACCTTTTTGGCTTTTGGGGTACGCCCTCTAGGCTTCTTTACAACAAGAGAAGGGACCTCTTCTTTGGCTCTAAAGTATATTAGTTAGAAAACATCATCCGATTTTTCAAGCATTAAACGAAACCAAACTTTATCTTACTCGAGTTCCCTTTTTAATTTCTCGTTTCTTTCCAGTCTTTCTCCCCAATATGCCTCAAACTCATCATCCTAAACCAAAGCTCATAATTAGCATACAAACAAGCAGGCATACCCATCTTTTGGTTTATTACCTTCCATGGTGCCTCCATATTGGCTTGGTTGTCAGCAGAGTCTACCGAATTGTGAGCCCCCTTTAGTTTGGGATTGTTAATAGAAAACTCCCCATCCTTTAGTTTGTTCTGCCAATCACGGACATTATTCCAAAAGACATTATTCCTTTGGTCAAGCGCAAAAGAACTCAAACCCATCCTTGTACCAGATTCGGAATAGGCTTGAGCTTTTTTGATAGAGCACTCTTCTATCCAGCCATTTTCTGTTAGATAGCTTCGATCACATATTGGCAACATGGCCGCGAGTTCATGTAATTCATCTTCTGTAAATCCTTGAAGTCTGGATATATTGAGCTTTGACTATAGAAAATAAATCAAGAGTTAATACTACAAATACACGATAGTAACTAAACAGCGATGACCAAAATTAATACAAACTTGTAAATCTGCATGTCCCAATTCACTTTTTGGATCGTGCATGAGTACATCAAAGGTCCATTTCTTTGGTCGAGATTTACTTTGTGTTGTCTTTCCAGCTCCTTTCTTTGTTACTCTAGACTTTGGTGGTTCCTTTGACTTTGGTTCCTTTGATTTTGGTGTCTTTGTCTTTGGTACTTTTGTCTTTAGTGGTGGGGTTTCAAGTGTAGTTTCTGGGACTTGTTCAGAAGTTTGTGGAGTCATTTCTTCATTCGTCTGAGAAACATCTTGGTAAAGACCCTCTGAGGAGATCTCATAGTAGTTTACATGATGTTTAGCTTTACAACCAACTTTTGCGGGACGACCGGACATGGTTGAGAGAATGTAGATGAGCGAAAGATGAGAAATTGTAGTTTATTTATGCAGTCCTGCAAAAAAGCAGTCGCTTCGGCTCTTTGTAGAAAACAAGGACTAATAGGCTGAATAGATTCATTAAAGCAAAAACAGGGTTGAATAAAGACAACCAGAAATGAATAGAAAGAGAAAAAGAGAAAAATAAAATCTAATACTGAAGCTGTGGGGTACAATACTGAATTGTACAAAACGTCTATCAAATTAACCATGACGTATCATAAGTTTCTTTGTCTGGAGACTGGCTGTTTTAAAAAGAAAGAAAAGAAAGAAGCTCAAGTGTCTGATTGGCCAGGTAGACGACGTTTGTGGGTAAGTACAGCGATAACAATGGTGTAGGTAATGATGATAATGATGCAAACAGTAGGAACAGTAAAACGAAGAACTTGAACTGGGGAACATGTCAAACTAGAATAGGATATTTATTTGATTTGTTTCTTTTGAGTTATCGATTAAATATAGCAATACTAGAAAAGAAAAGAAAACATACTTGTTGAACGAAAGAGTGCTAGATTTCTTTGTATGCTCTGGCATGAAGAAGGGATCTTCATCGTCATCATCACTCTCTACGTAGGTGGCAAACTCAATTGCATCGTCGTCTGGTTCAAGTGAATTGTCTTCTAAAACCATGGTCAGAGTCAAAAGATGGTCAAATAGGTCGGACTCTGCAATCAAATGACCAAAGCCAGACTGCAGTGTTATAAGCCAAACTAAGTTTGTCAAATCAGTCCAACTGTGCTTAATAAAGAATTAGTATTAGTATTAAAATATATAATAAAATATATAATATACGTATCTGACTTGTCGTCACGCTTTATTTTATTTTATATTTTATTTCATTTCACAGTCGAACTTTTACTCTTTTTAATTTGTCTTTTATTTTATAGAAAAAATATAAAAAGAACCAATTATTGAAACTAATCATGTCCACTGGTCATGTTATATATGCTTGTAACTGTTTAAATATCAAACTCCACTTGGCCAACAAGTACATCCTCCAAGGCCATGAGATGGCCCGTAAAGAGTACTTTGTTCGTCTCAATACCCCGCCTATCGAAGGCTGGAAGTTTGAACTGGGAATGGGTGGAGTAGTAACTGTAAGAATGAAACATATTCACGAATAATAGAACCAAAACCAAAAAAAAAATCTCGTTTGTGACCAGTATCTTCACTTCATGACACTAGGAATGCAATGCACTCGTACGCACAAAAATTGTGGGTCATGGTGACGCCATGACAGTGAGCTGTTTGAACTGCGCGACTGGGGAAGTCTATACAATTCTTAAGCCAGACGATCCCAACTGTCAGTCTTACCCAGCAGATCCTCAAGCCTTGTCCCAGCACGGTGAGGCTTTGATTGTTCACACCGGCACTGTGGTAGGATTGCGCTAAAAAAATAATACATACTATGCTTTACTGAAATCGAAATTCATTCGATTATCCAAAGTTTGGCCCTGCAGTTGATACACTTAAAAAGAAGTCAAATTACTCGAAGGTGTTCAATATCGTACTATCCTCCGATCTTCCTTTTACAGAAGATGACAAACCTGAAGGTAAGGGTATAGCTAGTATGAATTTTGTGTACAAAAAATGATAATAACCCCCCTTAACATGTCCGCTGTAGGTCACATTCCGAGCGAGCTGTATCGACATCACAAGACGTTTGCACAAAAGTTAGAAACATCCTTGGAATTACAAAAGCAAGATACAGAAGCCCGAATCGAAAAGTTTAAGCGGGAGCAATATAATATATTGAGCCAAACAACAAACAAGGCAAAATATGAGTGGAATGTATTATGGCAACGAATGAACGAGGCTTCCAAAACAGTAAATGAGGAAGACCGACTTGAGCGGCGCAAGTCCCGATTGGATGACTCTAATAGTCATGCATCTGATAATTCATTCTGGAAAAAAATTAATGAAGGCGAGGCTGCCGTCAAACCTGCAGGCCAGGAAGGAGACAGTTCTCTTTCAAAATCCCAAGATACCAAATCAACCAGTCATGTTCGCTTCGCAGACAAAGAGATTCCCGCACAGCACTCTTCCTCTTTCCGTCGCTCTACTTTTGTCCTCGATGAAAATAGGATTACTTCTAGTGTTAAAAAGAGCAGTAATTTATCTAATACTATTGAAATGCATCCAGATAAGCAAGACATATGGGAAGATGCATCTGGTAAGGATCGAACTGGACATATCTTTCAAGGAAAATAGAGGTACTTATGATAAGGTCTCTATAGAAAAAGGATCTGATTCAGAGAGCGAGGATATGTTCGAGCTTGATGAAGAAATCGAATCAGAGCCAGAGCCAGAGTCTGTAGACGAAAAAAAGAAAGATCAATCTGTGAATAATATATCCAAAAACCAAAGAGATGACCAAAACCAGGGATGGAAGAAGCGACGACCGGTTGACAAGTATGTTGATGAATACCCCGAAGTTGAAAACCAGTCATATTCTCGTATTAACGAAGCTACCAAAGAAGACTGTAAGAGAAGATGGGCTATTATTTTTATTACTACTGCTACTATTACTACAATAATAATAATCGGCATTTTATTTTAGATACTGCATTTAGTACATCTGTTCCAATGGCAATTCCATCAATACAGCATGAAGTACCATCATTTGGATCATATGTTGACACAGATGAAAAGGATGCTTTACATGTTGGTTTTGACATGTCCTACACAGACCGAGAAAGCTCACTTCTTATGGCTCCTGTGACAAGCCGTCGGAAGTCATTGGTAATACCCTCAAGGAGTGGATCTCGTCAACTTGAGAATATTGGAGTTGGACGATCATTGGATACTCGTAACCGCACTGCCAGCAGGTCGCTCCACACCCGAGATGAGATGTTCGAAAAGCTGCGACGGTCAGCTAGTGTATTGGAAGATAATGACCCTTTGGAAGACACAGTGGCAGCAGATCAGTTGCCTCCACATGTGTGGGTAGCATCAACATTTGTGGACGAAGAGGAAGAGCTGTTTGGTGGAGTGCCAAAAAGTGGAGGATGGCAGAGGACAATGGAGTAATTGAATAAAGACCAGCATCGGTCGGGCCAAACGACTTTATGTTTTTTTATCGGTTTGGGTGGTGGGATATAGATTACAAAATAGATATAGTGATAGATAATTAAATAGATAGGTTGGTAAGGTGAACTTAGGTTCTAGACTACATTAACACACAGCAGCATCCGTTATTATTTCTGTCCTGGTCCATATCAAAGTTCTCTCGATGAAATCCAGTAGACTTTGACTGAGCCTCTTGTTCCTTGTTCATACGACGAATTTCTCGTACGACTTCATAAAATGAATCTTCTACGTTGATTTTCTGCTTGGCTGATGTCTCTCTAAATGGACAATTGAACTGTCTGGCCCGGTCTCTTCCCTCTATGTATTTTTTTAAAAAAAATTAGTACAAATGTATTACTTTCGAGTGGGATGACTGACCCTGAAGGGTTACTTGTCGCTCTCCCTCAAGGTCGCACTTGTTTCCCACTAAAACCATTGGAAAGTGGTCGCGATCCTTGACTCGTCTGATCTGCTGATAAAATGTATTGACTTCTTCAAACGAGAGACCCGAAGTGATAGAATACACTAATACAAATCCTTCGCCGTTACGCATATACTGCTCTCTCATTGCACTATTATAAGTTTGTTAGTTTGTTAGTTTGTTAATTTTCTTCTTCTATCTAATCTCTATAAGTAATAACAGTAATAACAATAATAAAAGGGAGGTTGATAAAGTATAGATAAACCCCTTGCCTGTACTCTTCCTGACCAGCTGTATCTAATACGTCCAATAGCGCTATTTCCTCGTCAATCATGCATTGTTTACGATAGGAATCTACAAAGCAAGACAAGATGAGATGAGAAAACTATTTCGCTTATTTACCTTCAATCGTAGGGTCGTATTCATCCACGAATTGTGCTTGAATGAACTGAATGGTCAAGGCGGATTTACCAACACCTAATCAATTGCATGTAAATTGCTAGACACGCAATGCCAACTGTGTCTTACCTCCACCACCCACAATCACAAGCTTGTACCTGTTATAAGTGCGAGTTAAAAAATGATAATAATAATATATATATAAAAACAAGGATAAAGAAAATATGTATGTGTAGTAATAGTAAAAGTAATAGTAGTGATAATATTATTATTAGCTGTAGATAGGGCTCTAAATAATTTTAGTGCATAGGCTACTTACTCTCTGAGAAAAGATGCTTTTGACATGAGAATAAGGGAACAAAAAGATGGGTTGGTTCAGGTTGTTTCTCGAGGGATATGGGTCTAGGAACTGGACTGAACAGAACAAAAAAATAAAATAAAAGGATTTCCATGTAACACTGGGTCCTGCGAATATGGAAATCTGGCGCATGCGTTTATTAAATAAATGATCAAGACTTGCTCACAGACAACTCATAAAAGAAGGGGGTAATTTAAGGTAGATGATATTGTAAGGTAAAGTGATGTAGGGTAAAAGTGATGTAAGTTATAGTAGGTATGAATGTATAAATGCTCTATTCTCTATGTACAGGACTCCTATTGCTTTGGCCATGAGTAGCCATGAAGTTGTGAAGGGTCAGGTGTCCGGTCGTCCGAGTGAAATACGAATGGAAACGGTTGGTTGGGATCCTGGTAGGTATTTGGATAGGGTATTGCCCAGGGTTGTGAAACGCCAAAGTCAAGAAAACTCTCCATAGAATACATCGATGGCGGCAATTGAAGATTTTCTTGATGCTGTGATTGTGGAGTAGCCCATGGATCCATTCCGATAGGTACCATTGAATTATCCGTAACCACTGGAGCCGTGAATTGTAATAATACTTCTTTCTGTCTTTGACTATAGTTATTCGTCTGCTTTTGCTGTTGTGAGGACCGTTGTTTATCTTTTGTTTGCCTACTGACGCGTGTTTGATTGGCAGGGTTGAAGCTGATAATTTTAAATGGGGCAGCTGGCTTGGTAGTAGGCTTTTCTTCGGGGTCTTCACAGTGTTTCTTACGAGGAGATCCTTCACTACAGCTAAGTGAGTCTTGGCAAATGCTACGTGGACTAGAAGGTTCAGAAGCACAAGTGAGTCTGGATGAGTAGCCAGCAACCACATGGTTTTCCCGGTCTCGGTATTTTTGTTCGAGCGCGGCTAGAGTTTCCACAAACATGGAATCTTTGTGAACAATCAACAATTGGAAAAGCCGCACAGACTTTTCAAAGTTGATTTCACCAAATGCGGTCAGCTTCTGGTCAGATCCTATTGAGGCATTCCTGAGATGTATCTGCATGGCAGTGATAATCGCATACATAGCTCCGTCGTGTTGGTGGAGTATGCTGAGTTTTTGAGATGTTGCTAATGCCATGTGGGTGATAATTGTAGCCGCATAAGAACATATCTCGAGAGAAAGGTTTTGAGTACTCTTTGGCAAAGGTTCTTCTTCAATAAACGGGCGGTGTAATAATATCAAAAGGCTATGCAAGCCGAATAGCATAATCCGCTCAAAAGAGGTCGAATCCTTGGTGGGAGATTCTTTTGCATGGTTGATAGTATCTTTAATCATTGAACAAATACATGAGTCTAGAGTAGACAGCATATGCTGGTTATGCTATTTGAAAATGTACATTATGTGTGTGTGTGTGTGTGTGTGTGTACAAATATATATATATATATATTATGTGTGTGTGTGTGTGTGTGTGTGAGAATACATAAAATGAATTACTATTGCGCGCACTCAAATACAAAGAAGCTTAAGAATCGTACCTTGGTGGGACCTTGAGAAGATTGCGGGAGATAGTTAAATTTAATTATTCTTCCGCGCAGTCTGCTGAGCTCGATCAGACTATTAAAGTTTGTGACATAGCGCTGTATATCTAGATCCTCATCTGGTAAACAAACTGGGAGAGGCAAATTTCTATGGATTTCGATTAGTAAGGCTCGGTAAGGGCAGTAATACCTACATATCCTTTTCTTCAAACATAAATGGCCGCCCATAGGTAAGACTCATTGAACGATCTTTAACAAATGCAAACCAAAAGGTACGTATGCTTCTTTGAACTGACTCGAGACATACATCAGAAGGAGTTTGTCGGTGGAGTCCCATTTCTTGTGCCATTCGAAAAGCCGATCCAGCCCAAACCCATGCCATTGTATGGTGTTGATAACGAGTGGTCTGCTCCAAGTATCCAGAGAACATTAATAATGCCTGAAGTGTAGTTGTGCGTGGGCAGTCGAGGTAAAATGGGATCAGCTGGGAGACATATGTGATCATTGCCTCTGTTCTGTCCGCAAACCTCGACTGATTTTCATCATAGCCTGTACTGCACAAAAATAGACAATAGAAAAATAATGGCGACAATGGGCAGGGCTTATTCTGCTGGAATAACCCCAAGCAATATAAAAGATAGGGTTTTGAATAGAGTGGGAACAGTGAATTCACGTGCCGGTCGTACAAATGAACTAAATCAGCCTGCTCTTCTAGGGACACTTGAGGAGGGACGAAAGCAGAGGTTGGCAAGGTAGGGTAAGGAATCTCCTCAGGCGTCTCCCAAGAGGTCTCATAAAACGATGTCTCTCCCATAAAATGACCATGTCTGTCCACACCTGTTTGACGTTCTATTGCATTCTGTGTCATTTGAGGTGGTGATGGAGGTAGCTGAAACACGTCTTTTGGGCGAAGTTGTTGGTAATCGTCTGTCAGTCCATTGTCGCATCGTCGACCTTTGTTGATTGCATACCCTTTGGGCTTTCTCCCAGGCGTTACAAACTGCTTGATGACCAGACTTGCACCAGTGTTCTGTCGAATCTCGGCTTCCACCATAGAAAGGTCATTCAAAATGTCTTTAGCAAGGGACTGCACCAGCTGCGACGATGGAAATCCGAGTGGTGGTGGGGATATAAAATTCACTTGTAGAGAATTATCTGGGTGGTTTCGCTTCATCAAAAACAGTAAAAGGAAAAAAGAGGTGATTTACTTGCACAACCACTTTGAGTTTCACGACTTTTCAAATAAAGTCGGTATACAAAAGGCCCGAAGGTGCTTCAAAGAGAATAAGTTGCCTCTTCCGGACACAAACTCAACTACACTTCTTTGTATTGAATGAGTTCTCGAACACTCAATTCCAAGTTGATTCTGTGAAAAAAGAAAAAAGAAAAACCCGAAAAACTCATCGCTTTTTTACTAATCAATCAACATGGCAATTATCAACGTGGATTGAAATCTATAAGCGTCATGGTCATCTGCAAGTACCTAAAAGGCAAATGGGATGAATGGGCTTAGATTTGCGGTCTCCATTTCACGAAAACATCATCAAGGCTTGAGACTTAAAGCCTTCTTTACTATATTTCTTATAAGACCATCTTTCTTGTAATCACAAAAGAGTTAGATCACACGACCAGAGATCAGTAAAAGAGTTTGATAGTGCCCAAAAGAGAACGGAGTTGACCAATATACGCCACTTCTGTATCGGTAATAAGATGGTATAACACAGCATAACCAAGCCAGGCATCAAATAGTCTCAATTCACATGTCGATTGTACCTTACTGTGAAGAATAATTATAATAGGCGGATTGGGCACTCTAATATTTTAAAAACAGTGTTTCAGGACACTGTGAAGGCGTGGGATTGTGATGACCGACTTTACAAGAGCCCAAGAAGCCAGCATTGGGGCATTTATTTAATTTTTTTAATAGATAGTATGACCATTTGTCTTAACACAAAACGGATAAAGCAGTGAAATCTTGTAACCCCTCTCCTTCATATGAACGCGTCCACATGTATTCACAAGATCTGGTTATCCAATCAAGCTATTCCTACACCAAAGGATCTCGAACGCTTTTTCAGTGGCCTAGATATTAGTCATAACTAGCTTCCCCAGTCATATTCTAAATTAAGATATTGGATGTGCGAATTGCTTTTATTTGCTTTTTTTAAAAATCTTTCATTGATGGATACCTCTTCCAGAAGACGCAAAGTAGCCCAAATCTTCCAGGTATTACTGTACAACGAACTTAACGGCATTCTCAGAGGGAGTCTCTCCGTGGGGAGTGAACTCTACTGGGATATTATCGGGAACATTCATAACTTCCTTTACTTGACGACTGTGATAACCCAAAAGAAAAATCGATGAAGAATTAATCAATAAAATTATTATTTTAACCATGATTAAAATTGTAAGAATATAATATATATAAGAAAAAAAAACTTACCCAAGAGCTTCAAGAGTCTCATTCTTCTCAGAATGTTTGACCCACAATGAGACACGGAAAAAAAATTTACGTACAGACACAATAGCACCACAAATCTCATCTTCCTTTGCAAATTGCTCACCAATCATAGCAAGCAACTAAAAGACATATCTATATCAGATCCTGATTTTTTCTTTCGTTTATCACTCTAAATTCTTACCAAGTGGAGCCAGTAATCATTGATGGCTTCACCGGTACGGTTACGGGGAAACTGGATACCAAACTTGCCACCTTCAGCGTTCATGGGATCTTCCCATTCGGGGCGAACGCCCTTCTTAAAGAAATGAAAATTGGAGCTAATCTCGAGATGATTCACCTTGGAGATGTTGTTGTACACGCTAACCCACACACGTCCATCATCAGCCTTCGCGCCAATCCATTGTCTTCGTTTGTTGAACTTTACCCCCAAAAGTCCTCGACTGTGTCAATCGAGACGATCTCCTTGAGGTTCTGCGACCAAGATTGCGTATTGGCTTTCTTACCCGGGTTGTCAAACCACAGGGTCCAGGTGTTCTGGAGAGGGTGCTTGACATTATAGTTGCTGCGATCGTGGAAGACAGTTGTGATCGAATTATCGGCGACAGCATCGGCTGACTTTTCTTGAGTGTTATTGTCAGCAACGACGGTCTCTTCTGCTTGGTGAACAGGGCGTGTTTGAATGTCGGTCATGATGCAAAGGATATGGAAACACACCACAACCCTGCCCACGAACCCAAAGCTCTCCTAAAACCAAGCGACTAAGCCACTCATGCAGCCGTCACGCGGCGCAATCCAAACATGCTTAACCCCCTCCCCTTGAAGACAAACTCTCTAAAAAACAAACAAACAGGCAGAGTATCTGTTGGAATTTGTTCTTTTTCTTTTATGTCTTGTACTTCCTTGTGTTCAGAACTTCTTTAGATTATATAAATCTTGTTTTTTTTTTTACTGTACGGTAATTAATCATATAAATAAACAAAATATATTCTTTTAAAAAATATCAATACAAGTTTCTTTTATTTTATTTTATTTTATTTTATTCTATTCTTTTGCTCTATCCGTATTCTTAATTACCGATTCAACATCATCAAAGAAAATCACACTTGAAACTGATTATAATCCAAAAAGAAAATTAAAATATATTTGACTTTGAGCGGATATGCAGACTAAAACCAGAGATAACAAACTCTATCAATCTCTTTACTATCTTGACCTCGTCTTCATTATTATAATTTCATCTCAAAATAATCAGGAACAGTATTCAAATACGGTCTAAAAACATCATATTCATGCTTTAACTAGAGATTCCATATATGATTATATGCAGCACATATTGACCATATATTTACATTTTTTTGCTTAGGTATATATACACACATTTAAATCAAATGATGTATTCCTTTTTTTTCTTTCTTTCTTGAAGATTCTTTGTGGTCTTTGCGTTAATTATTATTTAGAGGGGGTGTTGAGTTATGGAAAAAAAAATCCATCATATTGCTATTGTGGCAAAATAAAGTTTAGCGCATATTTTCAACTCTCTCGATCGTTTTTTAAATATCTACAAAATTGGTTATTTGAGGCAATTTTTTTTTGGGTAATTTTTTTGGACTTCAAATTTTCGAAGGGCGAATAAATTAAGAAAAAAATGGGTTAAAGGCAATCAGAATATTAGCAAGTGTTTATTTTAAATGAGCATTTATGGTACAAGCAGCTGTCATAATATATATATATATATATATATATAGTCATTTGGGACAATAATTGAGCTCAATAGTCAAGGTCGAAATAAATGGTCAAAGGTTTAAAAAATAAATTCTGCACTTTCAGTTTGATAAAATATGTGACACTAATGACCGAATGCTAGCGCTCTATTGAAAGTCCTGAGTGTTAATATGTGCCATTTCATACGGTGTCCGTTAAGCAGAGGGGTCGCATAATTATCTATAACAAGCAGGAGAAGAAAGAGAACGAGAACAGATAATCTCCCTTGGGATCTCCCTCTAAATATCTCTTTATTTATTTATTTTTGTTCCTGGTAGTGCTAGTTAGTTCAAAAGTCTTTAAGGATCTAACAATACTTTGGTATAAGATTAATCCATTGAAATGATACGATATATTTGCAATTATCAGATTTTTAAATAAGTATCTAGCTTTAATATAGAAGTTACGCTCGTCATACTTCTTTAAAATATCCCAAGTTAAAATAATTCTTTATCTCTTGGTAGGATTTTCTTGTGTATTTGTCGGTATATGTAATATGATGGCATATTTATACCTTATTGACCTTTACGAAATACACACTTGTGAAAAGTTACAATTGTTTGAGCTTTTTGTATTCCAATTGAGTAAAACTTATACTTTATATATGTCAAGTAACTTTTTTTTTTATTTTTGCAAAATTCCCCAGCACAAACTCCACTTTGCAAAAAAAAAATTACTCATTTTGCTAACCCAATTTCTTTTGTCTTTTGTCTTTTGCTTTTCTCTTATCTTCTTTTCTTGCCTTTGCCAGCAAATCATCAGGAAACATCCTGTGTTTAAATATGTGACCGTTTTTCATGGTGTAAACGAAGATGTTCTTTTTGTGTGTCCATTGCACACCCTCCAATTTTTGGGATGCCGCCATAAAATTGATGGGCCATCCAAGTATGAAACTTCCTTTCCATTTTGCTGTGCCATGAAGGTAGAGTAGAAAAAGCAATGATCCTCTTACTCCTTGAGTGGTGCATGATTCCCTCTACAGGACAACAGATGGATCGATCCATCGGACAGATGGATTTCTTGATCTATAGACGCATACCCTAATCGTCACATCCGCCCGCCCCCTTTCTTTTTTTTATTTCTTAGTTGAACATCGCAAACCCAGCCACTGGCTGCCAGAAGCTAATTGAAATCGATGATGAGCGTCGTCTGTAAGTGACATTGGATTCTTACAAATTTCTTCAAATATTACACCAAAGACGTATAAACGACACCAAACGAACCCAAAGTTCAAGCCATTTATATATAAATGTATATATAAACAATTACTACACCAAAATTACGCGAAACAATACACCATTTATTACAATTTTTTCTTCCCCGACGCCCGACGAACTGGAAAATGTATACCGGGACGACCTCATATGCTTTTCCGACTTTCATCACAATTCGTATTCAACAGCGCCATTTATTTTTATTTATTATATTTATTTACAATTACAACGCAGACCTATTGTGGATTTTACGCTTTTCTCCTCTATATCTCTCTCTCTCTCAATTTTCTGTACGATCGTCACAACTCATATGATTTATTAATCTAGCCGCGGTTTCTACGACAAGCGCATGTCCCAGGAAGTCTCTGGTGATGCTCTTGGTGATGAGTTCAAGGGTTACGTTTTCCGTATCTCCGGTGGTAACGACAAGCAGGGTTTCCCCATGAAGCAGGGTGTCCTCTTGCCTTACCGTGTTCGTCTCCTCTTGAGCAAGGGTCACTCTTGCTACCGCCCTCGCCGCACCGGTGAGCGTAAGAGAAAGTCTGTTCGTGGCTGCATCGTCGGCTCCGACCTTGCTGTTCTCTCGCTCGTCGTTGTCAAGCAGGGTGAGCAGGACATTCCCGGTCTCACCGATGTCACTGTCCCCAAGCGTCTTGGTCCCAAGCGTGCCTCTAAGATCCGCAAGTTCTTTGTAAGTTTTAAAGATATTTTATATGAATGTTGGGAATAAGTAAAACAAAATATCCAGAGTATTTATATATATATATATATATATATTCTATTGTTACTTTTAATTAGAACTTGAGCAAGGAGGATGATGTCCGCAAGTATGTCATTCGTCGTGAGGTTCAGCCCAAGAACGCTGAGAAGAAGGCCTACACCAAGGCCCCCAAGATCCAGCGTCTTGTCACCCCTCTTACTCTCCAGCGCAAGAGACACAGAACCGCCATCAAGCGCAGAAGAGCAGAGTCTTCTCGCGAGGCCGAGGCCGAGTACAAGCAGTTGTTGGCCAAGCGTGTCAAGGAGACCAAGGATCGCAAGATCGCCAGACGCAGAACCTCTTCTATCCAGAAGTCTGCTTCCGCTTAAACCGGCAAATAAAAATATATACAATTCTCTTTACGGGCCTGCAATTCGAAACAAAGTATACATTGCTGCTGTTGTTGTTTTTGTGTGAATTAATAGAATAATTTATTCTGTAAATATAAATGATATTTTGTGACAAATTTATAAAGACTTAAAAAAATAGGAATTTCGACATGATGTATATTATATACACTTACTGATCTATTTAAAAGAATGTAAACGGCTTATATACATGTAGTTTAGACAAATAGAAATTAATTATATTGGATAAGTTTATTTTGGCCATTATCTTATTTGATTAATATTTTCGATCTGGCTATACTAATAATTCTTATTAATGCACAAGCTATAGTCAGAAATTTTTCATTGACATTTCTGCTTACTTTAACACAATATATATATAGGTCAAGTCTAATTAAAACGTCAGTCAATTATTATTATTAGAGCATCTTCAGCAGTGAGAGAATTTTTAATTTATCTAAAGTTAAACACCACTACTTTAGCTAAAGAAAAGGTCAATTTTCCCAGCAGTTCGATTTATCTTTTTCTTTAAATAAATTTTGAGAGCGTTTTCATCAATAAATTTTATCTTCCTATTAAATTTAATAGGAAGATAAAGAAAAAGGGGCTGTCTTTTATATTTAAAGTGAATTTAATCGAACTGCTGGGAGGACAAACTTTAGCTAAATCTTTAAATTTAATGTAAAAGTGGAGATAAAGTGGACTGCTGAAGATGCTCTTACATTTTTATATGATTGTCTTCATTTCTTCATCCTAGAATATTTATTGTTCTTAATGGGCGAGTTACAACACTCCTTAATAGCGAGACTCTGCTTACCTTACCAGTACAAGTGTAGGTAACTTTTACTGAAAACGAAATAAAAACAAAAACATGCGTTGCTCACCACGCCAGTAAGCAGTTTTTTTTTCTCGCCTTGGCATCGGTGCTTGAGTATATCCCCCCTCCCCTCCCACCATATTTTAATAATTCATTTGGTCGATCTATAAATCCAACTTTTTATATGAATATCAGATAACCTGTAACAGAAAAATAATAATGAATAAATGTGTTCAGGGAAAACTAAAATTGTCAAGAGAGTGTCTGTAACACATGTGTGCCATGCAATATATATACACAAAGGAAATGAAGTACAAACAGTTTATTTTATAATTGACACTCTAGAGACCCTCACACGAGATGTAATATATGCTCTTGGAGTATGTATGATCGGTAAGAATCCTGGGTTTCATATACCGTAATCCAAAACTTTAATTCACCTGGTTACAGCTCATATCTTCTTTAGTTTCGCAGTCTTTTCAAGGGACTGGAAACGTAATAGAGATAGAGAAATCAAGCTAGTCCGATTTTAAGATATCGGTAAGTGTTAAAGGAACTTTATAGATCTAGGCAGCATGCATATTCATGATTCCAACAACAACAGGAACAACAGAAACAAAAACATTGATTTTGAGGAGGGGAAGGAGATTGTTTTCTTTTTTATAAAAGTCAAGACAGTAACCCTGATTATATTGCTGTATATAATTCTAAGAAGCTGAATGAGATTCGATCTAATGTAGTAGACTTTGTTTGAGTAATACATATAAAGGTTTTGTTGAGATACTATTAATATTACCCAATTCAAATTAAACCATATTTATAAAATAATAATAATAATAATCATTTAGTGTAAGGTTTGTTTTTTCTTTTTTTAAAAAAAGAGGACGTTATATACGTACATATATTTTGTAGTATATTTACTAGTCGTATATAATGTGGATTTGAGTCACAAATAACGAAAGCACTTATGAATCAGAGTAAATCTATAATGAAGATCTTGATATCTATCGACCCAATTATGTATTATGATATAATATGTAGTCTTGCTGTAATATGTGAAAATGGTTCAATTGTTACAAAGAAAAAGAACAAACCGCATGAATGAAAATCCTTAAATCTTAGTTACGGGATCTTCTAAATATGTTTCTCAAAGATATTAAATCGTATTGATTAGATACATATATCCTCTCAGTATTTCCGGGGTAAAAAATAAAGATTCATTAGGACTTTTTTAGACACTCGATGACTTTGGTTCAGAATACTACTACATTATTATTAATTAAAGTCAATTGAAAACACATACATATATATATAAGTACCAAATAAAGACTATTACAGAATATAAGAAGGACGATTCTGCATATTAATGTGTAAAGCTGAACTACTGCATGCTAGTTCTTTCTTTTAGGATAAACTTCTAATTAATATAAATCAATTATAAACTGATAACTTTTATTCTAGATATACTTTATTATGAAGCCAAATTTTATTGGCCGTAGATGGTATTTACCTATTAACCAATAGCTATACATATATACATATATACATACATATATGGGCGTAGGCGCGGGTGCGCGGGTGTATGTGGAATATAATTTAATGTAATGTGTGAATTACCTTGTGCTCATATATATATATATTTGTGTGTGTGTGTGTTTTAATATACATGTATATTATTTTGCATGAATATTTTATAAGTCTTGATTTTTTGTATATATTGAGATTTAGGGTATGTTACTTTCATTAATTATATCAAAAAGGACTACTTTTTCGTGCACATATATGTATATGTATATTGTCTTTTAATCAACATAATCCATACTTCCCTTTTCTTATTTTTGTTTTTTGTTTTACTTTATACCTCTTATATAGAATCTACTGATTCAAAGCATATTATTTGCTAGTGATAATCATGATAACGATAACGATAATTATAATTATAATGCTAAACTATCCAAAGTGGGATATTCTGATATTCTGAAAACACAAGTTTAGAACGAGTGCTAAGATATTGCTGTAGTCATTTTGACTTTGATTTTTTTTAAAGAAAAATTATAAATAGTATTTATACATCGTTTATATTGACAGTGCGGATGAGCAGAAGCAATTGATTCCTAATAATGTTCATTTTCTATAATTATAATTATTGTGTGGGTGGGGGTATGTCTATGGGTAATACCACAAGTTTTAATTTTGTATGTATGTATGTATGTATGTATGTAAATGTATTTAATGATCTTAACCCAGCACGTTGATCCATAGTGGATCCAATGATTTCTTGGTTTCTTGATTTCTTGATTTGCAATTATTTATATTGATGTGATTAAATAAATAATTGAATTTTGCGGGAAGTTTAAATATAAATACAAATATGAATATAGACTAGCAGGGTCCTCTTATTTTATTTATTATATAAAATAAGATAAAAACGTGGCGTGGCGTGGTATAGTATAGTATAGTATATTAGAGCTTGGCATAGTTTACTATACTTTAGTATAGTTTAGTATTTAGATTTACATGACAATAGGAATAGGAGCTACAGGGCAGAGCTGCAGAAATTATCAAAATATTTAATGTCTTTGTAAAGACAGATCAGGTCTAGGTTCTTCAATAAGATAAATAAATTCAAATATATATATATATATATATGTATACAAATATTAAAGTACTCCATTTTATATGTAAGAGCATTTTCATAGGCACAAATCCATAGCAACAGTAGCAAATAAATATATATATATAGTAAAATAGAAAACGAACAATCAGAAATAAATACAAAGGGGGATACAGGGAAAGGGAAGAGGGGTAAAAGGTTCAGGCTCAGGCACAAGAAAAAGAAAAGTACTATGTCTTATTGGTCAACTTGGATTGACTAAATCTGTAAAATAAATCAACCCACATATACATATATATATAGTGTTTTATTAATCTCTACCGACTATCAATACCAATGATAATATGCGCGTGAGTTTATCTTAATGTGTATTGGTGTATGGGCTATATACATATGTTCATGCTCCATGTTCCATGTTCCATTTCCGTGTCGGTGTCAGTGTCGGTGTCGGTATCCATGGTCATGTCTGTGTCTGTGTTTGACATCTAAATCTAGTAATAAAAACATATACATATTTTATGGCTATATGTATAAATAAATTAGACAAAAAAAAGAGCATATTAAAAAATGCTATTTGTGTCTATAAAATACACATCATTTACATACATACATACATACATACATATATCACACACAAACGCACATTCAAATCAAAATCAAAATCAAACAAATAAATAAATAAACAAACAAACAAGCAAGCAGAAGAATAAGACTAAAACTAAGATTATGAATAAGATGGCAAAATGTAAAAGAGGGTAAGAAATCTAAAGTAAAGTAAAGGGTTTGAATATAAAAAGAAGATGGAGGTGGGGATCCTATTTTATTTTGGTAAAAAAGAAAAGCTCATTGACGGACACAATTTTTTTTAACGTCACCACGAAAGACGGCCTTGGATTTGTATTGGGTTGTGCAACAGTTTTCTTTTTTTTTCTTTTTTTTTAGGCAAGGGAAATATTAGACTGCTTCTTCACGTCTCTTCATCATCACATACTATCAATCGTCAACGCATCGATGACTGATCGCCGTAGCGGTATGGTTCAAGCATACGGCTATCCTTCAGCAACCGGGACAACACAAATAGTTTCTAGAGCGGTGGCGGCTGCAGCTGCCAATAGTCATCATTCCAATCGCAAAGCAGGCCGAGGCTCCAATCGATACTCGGTCTCGGTGCTGTATTCAATGGCAGCCGAACAGGACAATGAGGTTGAAGATGAACTAGCACAAGGCAAGACACAACTCATCTATTCGTCTTTTTATTTTATTACTGTTATATTCTTATTACATGCTTTTATTCACTCATTCTACCCATATTAAACACATTATTATATCTATATACAACAACAGCTCAACGACAGCTGAGAGACCTAAAATCAAAAATCTCGGCCCAATCCAAAAAAAACTTTGTCCTAGAGCGAGACGTTCGCTATCTTGACTCTCGAATTGCTTTACTTATCCAAAATAGAATTGCTTTGGCAGAGGTACTTTTCTTGAAACTTTTCTTTTCTTTTCTTTTTTTGAAGAAGGATATATATATATATATATATATATATATATTTGAATCTACAAATGAATTAATAAATGAATTATCTTGTAGCAAACTGAAATGGCATCGCATTTGGAGGAGCACGGTGATGCAGAAACGGACTTTTATCCAGACGATCGAAAGCTTCAACAATATGGAAATCTTTTATTTATCTTACAGAGTGAACCAAGACACATTGCCACCCTTTGTAGATTAGTCAGTTTATCAGAAATCGACACTCTTCTTCAAACAGTCATGTTCACTCTTTATGGAAACCAGTATGAAAGCAGAGAAGAACATTTACTATTAACCATGTTTCAGGTAAAAGGAAAATATATATATAAAAGAAGCAAAAAAATAAAAAATAAAGTTAGTTCAACCTTTAGTCTGTAGGGTTGATAGGATGAAATATGATTCTAATTGGACATCTTTTCTTTTATATATATATATATACTTATATGTATGTATGTATGTATTTTTATATTCGTTTCACAGAATGTGCTCGCTGCGCAATTCGAAACCTCGACTGAATTTGGCTCTCTCCTTCGAGCAAATACACCCGTATCCAGAATGATGACTACTTACACCCGCCGTGGACCTGGTCAATCTTATCTAAAGTCAGTGCTTGTTGACAAGGTTAAGAATCTAGTAGAGCACAAGGACCTTAATCTAGAAATCAATCCTCTCAAGGTAAAGTAAACATATAAATAAATACATTAAACCAAAGGCAACACCACCATCAAACTCGTGTAATGCGGAGTTCTTATGAATCTTACTCTATCTCTCCATGTTCAAAAAGGTTTATGAGGAAATGGTTGCACAAATAGAAGAGGACAAGGGTGCATTACCTGCCAATCTTCCTCGCAGTGTGACTCCAGAGGTGGCAGCATCAAACCCAGATGTCCAGGCTATTATCCAACCTCGCCTCAAGATGCTCATGGAGATCGCAGAAAGCTTTCTCACAACAATCATCTCATCTACTCCCACGGTTCCCTACGGAATCAGGTGGATCTGTAAACAGATTAGATCTCTCACCAAGCGAAAGAGTCCCAATGCTTCCGAGTTCTCTGTGTGTTCAATGATCGGTGGCTTCTTTTTCTTACGGTTCATCAATCCTGCAATTGTGACCCCACGTGCATACATGCTTATGGACAATGTGCCAGGCAAACACCCAAGAAGAACACTGACCTTGGTAAACTTGTATTTTAATTTCCCCTCCCTCTCTCTCTTTCTCTCTTTATTTTGAGTGTTACAGAATCTGACTTCTTTTTTTTTGGTAACTTTAGATTGCAAAATTACTTCAAAATTTGGCCAATCGTCCCTCATATGCCAAGGAGTCTTATATGCTTCCAACAAACCCCTTTGTTGAGGCTAACAAGCAACGTATCAACCGATTCCTCAATGAATTGTGTGAAGTCAGTGATTTTTACGAGAGTTTGGAAATGGACCAATACATGGCTCTGTCAAAGAAGAACATTGAATTGAGTATCACGATGAATGAGATCTACAGTACACATGCACTGCTGCAGGAACATCTGGACATGATATCTCCCAAGGAGAAGGATCATATCCGTATCCTCATGAACGATCTCGGACCTGCCCCTACCCAAGTTGCCCGAAAGGAAAATAAGACGATTGATCTTTCTCTTTTTAGTCGTTGGGAAATTCCTATCCAAGGTAAGTTTTTTTTTGAAGGCAAAAAATAAAATTCCAAATGCCAAATGCCAAATGCCAATGATAATAATAATAATAATAATAATAATAATAATAATAATAATAATAATAATATATTTATGTTAGATTTGACAACTGCTCTCATGTCTGAGAACAACATCACTCAAAATGATATTCTGTATATGGAGACCAAGGCCATATATGTTCAATTGATTCGGTCACTACCTCACCTTGGAGCAGGGCCTCTGGATCTGGAATACATTGCCGAGACTGCAGCTACCACAAAAGACGCTCAGCTGGTACGCAAGGGTATCAAGGTCAAGGATATGCTACGAGAATTGGAAGACGCGGGAGTAATTGACCATCGAGACCGGTACAAATTGCTTGTCGAAGAGATTACCCAAGAGCTGGCTCACCTAGGAAATCTCAAGGAAAAAGTCCTTCAGGAAATGACTTCGCTCGAGAGTGTATACAAGGCTATCTTGGACCACAATAGCTACCTTCGTAGCCAACTTGAGAGCTACAAGGCATATCTGCAGAACGTGCGTATTCAAAACGGCGGAGAAAAACAAACAAAGAGCTCGGTGGGTATTGGAGTTGCTGTTGAAGGCAATCGTATAAAGACACAGACTCGAAGTGCAGTTCAAGGACCATTCAAATTTACCCACAGTCAATTGGAGAAAGACGGTGTTATTGCAGAGAGTACAGTACCAGAGAGCAGGTAATATTATATACATAAATGTAGATATTCATTTGTGTACGTGTGTACTTGTGTATTATTGTGTGTGTGTGTGTGCTTTTTATATATATTAATATTGACAAATATAAATATGTGTATCATAAACTTCTTTTTTTTTAAAAAAAAATTATAAATCATGTAGACGGCCTAATATATATTTTTCAATCAAGTCTCCTCTGCCTGGAACATTTATCATTGCTATGTACTTTAAAGGTAAAAATAATAATCAATATATATATATATATATACGTGAGAGAGAAAAACACTTGTAATTCTCGACTATTTGTTTTCTTTTAATATTAATTTACTATTACTATCACAATTACTACTAGGTCGCGAAAAGGCAATTTTAGAAATGGACCTCAAGTTAGATGACCTTCTTGAACAGGTAAGTCAATATATATATATATATATGTATATGTGTATATGTGTATATCTGTATACAACAAATTGCATGCAAACTAAGAATATATTTTTTTGTGAATTGTAGCAACAAAACAATGTGGAATTACTGGATTTAGAAATTGTGCGTCTTAATGTGCTTCGTATTCTTCAGCTCTTGAACAAGACATTTGTGACACGCGGCAAGTAAGTCTTTAATATCCATAGATACATAGATACATAGATATATGTATTTATACTTATTGTGCAAAATCTAAAGTACTTACTTATTAACTATTGAAATGAAATTATATAAAAAAAGGAAACTAAAACGATAATATCCTCACCAGAGGTTTGTTTTCTTGAGACCATGAAGTCGAATTAAGACGAGCTTTTTCTTCTTATTATTATCCTCGGAACCTACCTATCTACTTACTTACTTACTTACTTACTTACTTACATACTTACTTACTTACTTACATACCTACCTACCTACCTACACCTATTTTACTTGGATGTGTTAAAACAAGGCAAATTCTATTGTCTTTTTTTTTCTTTTTCTTCTTACTATTACTATTCTTATTCCTCTTCTTTACTTTTTTTTTCTATATATAATTACTATTATTATTATTATTATTATTACTATTATTTCTCATCCTCTTTTTCTATCATCAAACATCTTCCAAATCCTAACAATTTCCCCCCCTCTATTCTTTACAAAAAAAACCAATTTTTTTTGGTACTCACAAAGACAAAAGAATGTTCATTTAATCTCGGGTTCTACAGCCACCAAATTTACACCAAAAAAGAAATATACCTTTTTGTATATGTATGTGCGTGTATATATATCTATGTATGTGTATGTACATACATACATACATATATACAAAATAAATAAAGACAATATCTAACTTCAATAATAATGATAATAATGATAGCAGTATCTTGGCTGTCGAAGTAAAGCAAAACGAACCTAATTGAATATAATATTTGAAGCTTGTCTTTTTATTATTTTGCCTGTCTAATTGGTTAATTGGTTAACTGACTGACTGGCTAACTACCTAATTTTCTGTCGGTTTGTCGGTCTATCGGTCTGTCGGTTTATTTGTTGGACTTTTGGTTACTGACTGTAAATAATAGTAATATCCATAATCCAAATAAAGTATCAAGAGTTGCTTTCTTGCACAAAAAAACAAACAAACATGGCAGTATGATTTATCTTGTGTATTTTTTTTTCTTTATTCATTTCTTTTTGTTCTTGATTCACGCAGGATTAATTCCCTTGAGTGGACACTCATCACGTGAAACAATCTCGCAACCATTTAATTTTTGGTGAAAAGAAAAAAAAAACACACACAAAAAGACATAAAGTTAGAGAGCGAATACGAGCTGAGTGCAAGAGAGAAAGGAAGAAAAGGAGAGAGAGAGAGGGAATTTTGTTAGAAAGAAAAATTGAGTGCAAGCTTCGTCGCACTTTATATAATTTATATATATTTTTATATATATTTTTTATATATCTTTATATATTTTTATATATTTTTATATATTTTTTGTGCTTAAACAAAAAAAAACATAAAAAAATATAAAAAAAAAATGCCACATACGACTACTAATGGAGGTCGTCCAGCATCAAGAGCAGGTTCTCTTAGAGCATCCATGAGTTCAGTCGGTGGATTCCTGTCCTTAATGTTCTGTTGTTCTGTGGATTCCGGATCCCTTGTGGACAACGGTGACAAAGGCTCGATATTACACAATATAAGAAACAGACGACACAACCGAGCAAACGTACCATCAAAGAAATCTCATGGACCGGAAAAGGCGGTACCGATCCCACTCCAGGACAGGGTTCATCCATCACCCACCCAACCCACCATCATCCCTCATCCAGATAAGGTCCCCGACAATACGCCTCTTCAAGTTCAAGTTCAACCTCAAGCCGTCGAACCTCAAGCTGTACCAACCACCCCAATCTCTTTACACCAACAGCAACATACTCCAATCGATGTAAAGTATATATTATATTTTCTTATTATTTATTTATTTTATTTTATTTTTTTTTAAAAAAAAAGACACTGAAAGATTGACAATGTTTCAATTTTCTCATAAAATATTGTTTATAAAATATAGGAACCAGTTGTATGGTTATTGCCTCCTCTTTTACCGGAACACTCTGGTCGTAAATGTCTTGTATTGGATCTTGACGAAACATTAGTTCACAGTTCATTCAAAGTAAGTATTTGTGGAGCTATATTTCTTTTTTCTTTCTTTCGGTTTTTCTTTCTTCTTTAATATATATATAAATTGTAAAAATAAAGAAGAGCTTTATTAACCAAATTCACACTGCACTCTGCACTCTGCACTCTGCACATTATACATTGCATACTGCACACTACACATACATAGAGTATTCCAAATCCTGATTTTGTTGTCCCGGTCGAAATAGACAACCAATTTCACAATGTCTATGTATTAAAGAGACCCGGCGTGGATGAGTTTATGCGCAAGATGGGCGAAAAGTACGAGATCGTGGTCTTCACGGCTAGTCTGTCAAAGGTAAAAAGAAAAATTACTTTTAAAAAAAATGTACTGACTTGTTGCTTCTAGTATGCTGATCCTGTATTGGATATACTTGACATCCACAAAGTTGTGACCCATCGCTTGTTCAGGGAGTCTTGCTTTAATTACAGAGGAAGTTATGTCAAGGTATATTAAAAATTCAAATAAGTCTTATATTCATTTTGTACAATTGACTTAATCCTCTCTTGTTATCTTTTAAAGGACTTGTCACAATTGGGTCGAGATCTTGCATCGACAATCATCCTAGACAACTCACCCACGAGTTATCTATTTCACACCACTAATGCAGTCCCGGTATCTACCTGGTTCAATGATCCACACGATACTGAATTAGTGGACTTAGTCGCGTTCCTCGAAGATCTTACCGCCATGGATGATGTGACAGTAATATTAGATAGCTCCATTGGCACCCATCCAGAAGTGTAAAAAAAAATACCACCAGCATGGCCAGAAAGAAGAAGTATCTTTATTTCATATTAACCAAACACCATCAGTGCATCAACATTAACATCACGTCAACCAACCAACCAACCAACCAACCAACCAACCAAACAATCAACGATTCCTTTTTTATCTTCTCCTTATCCTTCTACTCTTCTTTCTTCTTTTTTTTCGTTTTGTTTTCTTTTTAGGAGGTACCATTTAGCCCCCCTTTTTCATATTGGCAAAAAAAAGCATTGCCAATATTAGTTAAACATACACTTTATAATTTATACCTCATAGTTCAAACCTCTTTAACTCTTTTTTTTTGTTGTCTTTTTTTGTCTCATTCTTCTCCTTCTCTACCTCACTTTTCCTTTCTATCTATCTCTCTTTTCTTTATTATTCTATCATAATATGTTACTCTCCTTTGTATACATCAAATATCTTGGAATTTACCGTCCATTTGTTGTTGTTTTTTCATACCTCTCTTATATTTTTTTTAGTATTATTATTATGGATAGTTTACCAAGTAGTTCTTGATATTCCACTTTGCCTGGTTTCTTTCTAATTCTCTCTACACAACCAACCAACCGAACAAACAAACAAACAAACAAACAAACAAACAAAAATATATAACAATCAGATTATCAAGTTTGGCTTAGACTCGTACTCTTTCATTACCTTAAAGAGCCTCTTCTTTATTTATGATTTTATATATCTACAGTGTTTTTAATTAGTTTAATGATATATTCTTGAATATCAAAGAAAAAAATTAAGATTTACATAAAGTGGATAAAGATTGATTCTCTGAGTAAAACATAACCTATCTTATAACATCCACTACTTGATATATACTTAAGATGTAGACTTTTTTTCCCTTTGGTGTTTTATGTAGTACTGGTATTAACTGCTGCTTATATGTATATACATATATATTAGGTAAAGAAGAAATGCATATTTTTTCTTTTGTATTTGATGCATGTAAATTACTTTCAAGTAGTTTGAAAGAAGAAAATCTATCCAGACAATCCTTGTGAAATGCAAAAAAAAACTATACCGGATCCTCGGCAATTATTAGATCGGTGGCCAATAGGTCTAACAAAATTTAGGTTCTGGAAGGTATAGAGACCCAATTTAATCGACTCGATCTAGGCCAAAGGTTCGGTTATAAAAAGATAAAAAAACGACTACACAAAGTGCGATTGTAATTTTCAAGAGCGACTTTTTATTTTATTCTAATGACTTCATATACTAAAGGCTTGAGCAGCTTATTTTCGGCAGCTTGAATAAATTAAGGCCCAGAAGTAATTTTGGAATATTCATCTACCAAGCCTCGTATACTCTCAAAGAGTCACCTATCTTCGTTGTTGGCTTGAAAGTAACAAAAGACTTATTAGCTCACATATAGGGTCCAACAAGAATTCGTTCCGCCATTCGATTCTCTATGCACACCTCTCCTTAAAGCCTACGTTACTAAAAAAAAGGCATAACTAGCTTTAAATAGACATATAATTTTTATTAAAGTTCAATTTTGTTTCTACAGTAATAATGACATGTATATCTTGGACAGTTATTCGCCCAAGTTTTGTATTTTATTAGACCCTTGTGTATATTCTTGGTGTGAACAGACTAAAAGTTCAAAAAAAGGGCAAAAAAAGAGCAAACCAAGTTCATTCAGAACTTAGTTAATCAGACTAATTTATGGCTGTCCATACCTTTTTTTTAAAAAAAATAGTTCAAAGTTGTGCTTATAATCCCGTCTCTATCATCAAGTGAAAACTTTTCATTACGAGTTTTTCTAGACCTCTCATTATATGGCATATCTTCTTCATAAAAAATATGCTTCTCTTCTCAATCCTAGGGGTAATGGAAAAAAAAACTAGCTAATTAGAGTTGAATAAAAATTTTGCCCTTTTTTTGAACTTTTAGTCTGTCCACACCGTCTAGTATTAAAATAGGATGAAATTAGAGATCATGTGACTCAATGTTTCTAATCTGTCACGTGTTTTTTAACTAAACCCTTAGAGAATCTCCAGCAGTCCCTTGTATCTCAACTTTTATGTCAAATTTAACATTTAAGTTACAAGTGGTAACCCCAACAGCTTAATTTATTTTATTTCATGAACAAAGTACGGTTCTAGATTTTATCTCTCTGCTAAATTCGACAGGGATTTAAAAGTTTTAACTGAAAACGCTCTTAAAATTTATTTTAAAAAAAAGATAATTTGAATTGTTGGGTCAAGTAGCTTTTTCTTTGCTAACTTGACGGTGTATGGCTTTAAAAAAGATAAAAGTTAGCTGACTGTTGCAAGATGCTCTAGCCCAGCAATGTTGGTCCTTTCCATTCTGTAGAATAATCATTCCCAATGCCATCTTGTCTCATCCTTTGTCAAAAATATAGCATATATACCCTAATCACCTGTCCATTGGACGTAAATCAAAACGGAAAACCCAAAAACATCATATAATCCCACATAACCCTCCAAACAAACAGTTTAATTTCTCATTGTAATAATCAAAAATCGAGACATTATCAATAAATATGAACCTATCAATAGCTCCATACAAACAAAAAGAATCCAAGGTTCCTATTGTGTTCATTAACCAATTAAATATGTTTTCGGCTTATTGGGAAAATGTTACTTTTAATGTTGCCTACCCAATCAATTCAACTCATTTATAAATATAGTAAGAAACACATTATACTTTAAGGGTTTGACCTTTTTAAGTAATAAAAACTTTATCTGCAAATACAAATAAAAACCAGTCGATCATAATAGGTAAGCTCATTTTTTTTTAAAAAAAAGAGTTTATTCTTCTGCGCCTCCTCCTCCTTCATATATATATATATACCTCAATTATCTTCCTGCTTCTCCTCTTGCACCTGTAAGCTCGCTCGCCTTTTCTTTATTTATATCTCTTTAAATCGAGTAAAACTATAATCAATATGGAAAGATTCAAGCTAGTAAGTTTATGTTTGTTTGTTTGTTTGTTTCTGCTATATATATGCGTGTTTCTGTATACATTCTTAAAATTAAAAGAAGCTAATTTATTCATTTTTATTATTTAAATGTATATATGTATATGTATATATCTAAGATAATCGAAGGCCTTCGCGACGAGGTTGCCAAAGCCAATACCAGGATCGAAGAACTACTAGTGGAAAGACGGCAATACCTGATTGAATTCCGGGCAAAGGAGGAAAAAATTGTTTCTCTGGAAAATAAGATCAAGGAACTCGAAGCTGGGACACCCGAGTCTAAAACCAATGGCTAGTTTAAAGTTGATAATTAATGATAAGGGAGAAAATTATACCGCTTGCAAGGAAGAGTTGCATAAACTGATTATTCAGTCTGACAAACTGCAATAGCTGTATATATTACAGCCGTCATTATTATCATTATACCTTTTAAGAACAAGTACATTAAACAACATTAACAATAAATATCACCAAATAAAACAAATATATACACACGAGTATACATAATAAAATATCGAATATTATCGTCGCCATTATCACTAATTTTCCACTGCTATTTATTTGCTGGTGTCTTTGTCAATTAGTTTGTATGTATGTATGTATGTATGTATGTATGTATGTAGGTAAGTAGGTAAGTAGGTATATATAATATCTTAATAGTATTGCTTATTGCATATGTCTTATCGTTGACCAGCTATCGTATTTTACTACTTCTTTTCTCTATTACATTAAATAAAACTGTATATACAGACAATTCTATTCATATGATTTGCACATCTTTTTTTTATTTCTCTATCCATTTATTAATATATTTAATCTCACTTTCTCATATTATGTATACGTCTGTGTGCGTTTGTTTGTTTGTTTTATTTAATGATATTGGTTGATAATATTGTTACATCTACTTATACATAGCGGGTACAGTGGTAGTGGTAATATTAACATATACAGACTATTACAACTTTACAGATTGATGAGTCAGTTCATCTAATTTTGCCTTGCAAGCGATGTACTTTTCGTTCATGCTCTGGATGGCGGATTCCAAACCATTAATCATGTGCACAGACTCTTCTACGTCGTCTTTATGTTCATTATGCCTATAACATTAATAATAAGGTTTTAAAGAGTGAAAGGCTAATATTACCCTTAATATATTATGTGTTTATGTATTTACCATTCAGCTTTAGAAGTCAAAACATTGTAGAGGTCTTCGTACTTTATATCGAGTTTTGCAATTTGATCTTTCAGAGTAATAATGTTTTGATCTCTAAAATTAGAATAGCTCTCAAGACTCTTGATTTCAATTTCAAGTTTATTAGCCCTAGCATTGGCGCTTTCAGCCTTGGCGCGAATGTCGGCAATTTCCTTTTTAATTTATATATTTAAACAGTATACATAATAAAATGGGTTTTTCTTTAATATATGTATATCTAACAAACAAAGATAATCTTACGTGTAGCATTTTGTCCATATTGAATACTGCTTTATTAAATTTAAAGAGAAAGAGAAAAAGAAGAAAGGAAGATAAGTAGGAGGAGGAGGAGTTGCGAAAGTATAAACTGATAAAGAATAAAAGTTCACCTAGCCGGGATCGATATCTTTCATTTCTATTTGTAGATAAAGTTTTATTACTTAAAAAAGTCAAAACCTTAAATTGCAATATGGACACGGTGGGCTTCATCTTTTAGTATTAGTATTCAGTGTTGATTTCAGTGGAGCTTGGAGTATTAAGGCAGCTGTAAGAATGACTCAATGTAGTTAAATAGCTATTCTTTATATATATATATATGTTCTTTAACGAAAGAGTCTTTATAGCCGTATTTACTTTCCTGTTCCCAAGCTGGACACTTACACATAGGCACCAATTTACCATGTGTCAATACAAGCACAAGAGACAGATCTGTAATAAGCTTCCGCACATTTCTGCAAAGCAACAAGGAAAAAATAATAATATGGTCGACTACAACTAGATGAATGTCAAAATCATTTTCTTTTCTGCTTCTTTAAGCCAATTAATAAATATATATATATATTTATAAGTCACCCACTCCATTAACTCTTTCCCGCCATTTTTATTCTTTCTTTCCTGCACTTGAACAATATTTTTCTTTATTATAAAAAGTAATAAGAAAAAGTTAATGTTTGATTAAAATAAAAAAATAAATAAGATACAGTGTTTTAGTAACCAATCAAATATGTTTTCGGCTTATTGGGAAATTGTTACCCTTAACTTTGCTTATCCAATTAAATCACTTCATTTATAAATATGGCAAGAAACATATTATCCTTTAAGGTTGGAACCTTTCTAAGTAATATTTTTTTAACTACAAATATAACTGAATACCGGTCGATCATAACCAGGTGAACTCTTATTTTTATTAGTTTATTCTTCTGTGCTTCTTCCTCTTGCTCCTGCAAACTTACCCCACTTTTTCTTTCGTTTTATCATTAAATTTAGTAGAAGAACGGTTAATATGGACTCTATCAAAGAAGTAAAAAATATGTTTGTTTGTTATATACATATTAAAAATGAGAAAATGAAACTAATTTATTTATTTATCTTATTTAAATATATAAATATATAAAAAAGAAAATTCGCGAGCTTCAAGCCGAAACTGACAAAGCCATTGCCAAAGCTGATGATTTAGAAAGTAGAGCCAGGGACCTCGAGTACGAAATTGAAATCAAGGAATTAACTATTGTGTCTTTGGAAAGACACCTCGAAAAATCTAATGAAGATATTAACGAGTTCTCCGTTTTTTTTACTAATCAATCAGCTTGGTAAAAAAAAAGATGTTATATATATATTGCATTAATAATGATAATAATCTCTTTCTCTGTTCTTATTACTATATTATTATAGCTTTGATGAGTACCGGGCCGATGCAGACGAGGCTGCACGCAAGATTACTGCTCTACAACTTGAACTTCAGGATAAGGAAGAAAAGTTTATTGCTTGCCGGGCAGAATTGGATAAACTAACTCACCGGTCTGATAAGCTGCAATAGTTTGTATATATTAATATTATCATTATCATTGTACCTACCATGTATAAGTATATGTATCTACATTAACCATACATATTGTCAAACAAAACACACATATTTATATATGGATAGATAGAGAGAAAAAACAAATATGAAAGAAACATGTGAACTGAACTGTCTATACATATAGTCTTCTTTATTATAAGAAGCAATAAGAGTCCCAGTTTCATACATCGGATACAAATACATCTCTTACTAGCTCAATAACATACAATCTTTACATAGCTTAAATACTCTTTAAACAAACTCACTGCTGTGAACCTATTCTTCATATCTTCCAGTACAAATTCTCTCACGATATATCATTATGCATCCTGAAAGTTTGGTTTCAAATTAATTAATTTGTTATGTAATAAATCATCCCATATTGCTCTTCTTACTATACCTGTGCAGCATACATCTTTCTTAATAATATTTATTTTCCAACACACCAAATCACTGGCCAATTAACAAATACATATATAAGCTCATATATCAGCACCAATCTACTCTCCTGTTTTTCATTTTACCCACTCACCAATTTCTATACTCTTATCCACTAGTCCATGTATTCAGTTATCGTCCAGCTTATATACTTATGCTACATATTGATTCATATACTCAGTCTCTTACATATCTATCTATTTATACTATAACTCTAGCTATATTAGAGAGTTTTGGTTGAATGTGACTGGAATGGAAGGGAAAGTAAAGGGAATTAGGGAAGAGAGAAGAGCTGGATATAATGTATTTATCAGCTTATGCAGTATTTTATATGCAAAAAAAAAGACCAAGATTGAGTTCTTAATAGCGCTGACGTGGACCGTGCATAATTCTGCAAAAGACTTTCCCAAAAACAGAAACTATTACTTTTATTTGCTTTAAAGCAATGCTTTTATATATAAAGACATGTTTTTTTTTGCTCTTTATTACTATTTTGGCTGCGTATTGTTTTAATTTTCCTTTATAGAATATACGCTATAAAGGTTTATATACCAGTTATACAATCTTCATCTATATCATACTTGAAAGCATTAAAGCTATTTAATTTATATTTTATAATTAATATAGTGTACTAGACCAAAAGTTATATTTCAAATATCCACTAGAAAAATAATCATTAAAGTTAAGGCTTATAAAATCCATCAGATCAATCCTAGAAATGTCGTGTCCATAGAATTATCGATATGGTAATTTATCTTATACAATTAAGGCTTTAACTGTGTCTGTCAGTAGCTCTCAAACAAATTAATTCTGCAACGACTATTATATTTTGATGACTGTTCAAACTGTCAGACTAGCTCATTAAGATGTATATATTCTTGCAGAAAGAGTTGTATGAACTTAAGCACATATACTATGAGAGATGTATTTTATATGTCTCTTGGAAATAACTCTCATAAGCCAAGTACATATTAACGCCATTTTGGTTTGACCTCTTCAGAAGTGATGTCAGTGGGCTGCTTATTTGAATTACATATAATCCATTTGACACCACAAGCTTCTTCCAATCTATGTTTTAACGGTCACCAAATCGGCTAATACTTTACCATAAACCAGGAAATGCAGGCTTTTCAAAATTGCATTTTGTACCATTGATTTTCTATTCTTTTATATACATATCTATCTGTGCCTTTCTTTCTTTCAATCTCTCAAGTCAATACATACACAATGGTAATCCCTCCTCATCCTTTCAAGAATATTTTTTATTTTAAAAATAGAAAAAAAAATAGGCTGTACTTACTTTTATTTATTTATTTATTTATTTATTTCCACATCTCGGTCATTTAGTCATCTACCTGCGAAATCGACTCTCAATTACTTGAAAAGATCAAGAAATTTCGTTTTGCAAAATATTCAAGTGGAAATGCTGCCTTTGTCTGTATGCATCGATTACCTCATCAATAAACCCACTACTACACATCTACACGTCCAAAAAAATTGATTTTTATATACATATATTCTTAGTGCAAATTGATCGAAAGCAGCTAAAGATTGTCGAAGAAGAAGTGTATGACGCTGTTTCTTTGGAAGAACTTATCGAAGGTATGAATATATATATATATATATATATATATGTGTGTGTGTGTGTCAAATTACTCGATTATTTAATTATCCAACAGAGCTTCCTGAAAATAGCCCACGTTTTATTATCTTGAGCTACGAGGTAAACATACATGTAACCACAAAATTGTATATTTATACTTAAAATTTAATATTATCTTTAGCGAAAGTACAGTGACGGTAGAGTCAATTACCCTCTTTTGTTTATATATTGGTCTCCTTCGTCTGCAAAGGCCGAGATCAATATGCTGGTAAGTTCAAAGCAGGTATACGGGGATCAGTGTATACATGTACGTATAAGTACTTGCTTTATGTACTCATATTACATATTCAATTGTTCTAGTATGCTTCTGCAAAGACTTTTGTTCAAGAAAAGACAGATGTTACAAGGGTAAATTTCACAAATGCTAAGATATGGATTAAAGTTTGTATAATTAATTTATTTATTTAGGGTGTTGATATTCGTGATCCTGAATCCTTTACAGATGAATATATCCTGAAACATTTAGGATAAATGCTGAATTGTATCATTTTATATGTATTTATTATGATTAGCGTCTATCCAAGACATGACATGGTAGTTTGTATCTTAAATGTTGTTATATTATTTGGATACTGGTTCCTCTACACTACGTTTACGTTCCCAGATCTAAGAATATTAAGGAAGGAGACAGGTAGTTTAGATTTTAATGTAAAATAGAGAAGCTATCCGCATTTCCGCATACATATACTTATACTTATATATTGATTGAAAATAACAGAAATAATTGTAATGATAAAATATAATATAGTATTTACCTGAATGTAACTCTCTGACAAAAAGATCATTTGAGGTACGATCTCTTCAACAATCAAATCCTGAATCTGGTACCACTGTTCTGTTCCACGATGACGGACGTGGACCTTGTAGGTTCCCTGACCATTGTCAGCCTTACCTTCATGACAGATATTGGCTAATAAGTCATAATGAGTTCCAACATTCTTGGCATCTGGATCACTAGTGACTTTTTTTTTTAAAAAAAAAGATGCATAAATATATATTAGTTATTTATTTTTCAATATTAAGCATACATAGGTATCTTTCTCTTTATCTGAAGAAATTTACTTACAGTTGGCCATGTCGACATTCTTGATAGGAAAGTTTACAATTGTAGGGTTTTTTTCTGTGGTCCAGTTGTTTTTGTTGAACCGTTTGATGTGAAAGATTAGGTAGTCAGGAAGGAGTGTGATGTGATATCTCTTCTTTTGATCAGCAACTTCCTAATCGTCATCAATACATAGGCACATATATACAATATGAATAAATTTATAATGTGTTGTGATTGCTGTTATTTTGTTTTTTATTTTTACCTGAACCCTCTTTCCATCATATTTTCCAAGAATAGTTGTCAAAGGAACTTGGGGAATAATATTCTTTTCGGTTTCATCCTGATAAAGGGGAGCCAAAGGGAGGTCAAGCGCAAGGAAAAGGAAAGGAAGACGAACAGACTTGATTTCTTTATGTGTATTTAAATATACGTTAAACATTTACTATTATTCGAACAATAGATGTGTATATAGATCAATTTAATTTAATTTAAATTAATTTTACCTCGATCTTCATCAAAAATCAATAGAGCCTCCTTGTTTCCTGGACCACCTGTAGCACCAATACTTTGGGAATCTACCGAAACCTCTCCCTGGAAAATGCGATGGATAATGCCTATTTTCAAAATTGTTATTTATTATCTACAGTTATCGTTATCATTGCATATAAAAAAACAACTTTGACTTACTGCTATTTTTCTTTTTACTTCCTCCAAGATCTCTGTGAAGGGTGTTCAGGAACCAGGAAAGGAAATCAATTGCGTTGCTCTGTTCTGTCAATTTAAATCGTTTTCCACTTGCATTTGAAATTTCCTAAAGAACAAATTAGTACATATATAATGTAATCAACATATTCTCAATCACTATAAATACTAAGCTACGCAAGCCCAATTTACCTGAAGAAGTTCGTGTGGACTGACTTGTCCTTTGAATGCCTTTGGATTCCACATTTTCCGTACCAGTGCGCCAAACCGGGTTACTGGTTTAGGATAATTAGGATTAAAGTTGTGCACTATAATATAATAAAATATATAATAAATTATTCATACCTAGTTGAGAACGCCCAAGTTTATCAAAATCTTCGAGAATAAAATAATCACGGAGAGGAGGGATGTGAACAAGGGCTTGGATAATTACATTGACATAATCATTTGCCTTTACATTGTTCAAACCCACAAATCCTGCGAAAATAAATTAAATACACAGGAAAGTTAATTAGTATTCCACTAAATATATAATAGCCAGCACTAACCAGGCAGATACTTCTTGTTGTTGAGATCATATGAAGGCTTGAGGTTTTTGTCCAATTGCATAACTTGTGATTTGGTCAAGACAGGTTTTAAGACGTACTGTTTCCAAAAATGTAAATAATAATAGTGGTTTGGTAAGGATAATGATAGTAATGATAGTAATAATAATAATGAACATTGTTATTATTATTTTCATGTGGACGCGTAAAGTAACCTTTATATCACTCAATGAAGGATCATCGACTTCATAACCTTCAGGAAGTACATAAACCTAAGATAATTTGAATTTAGAGACACCGGTAAAATAACAGACAAGACAAAATATAGTTTGTTTGTTCGTTCGTTTTAAAAAAAGAAACCTTGAGAGTATGAAGATTGATGAACACATGATGGTCTTTGTGCATACTGTGAAAATAAGCATGGGATGTTTTGCCACGTCCTGTTATTATTATTATTATTATGGGTAATGTGTGCGTGTGTGAGGGTGCATAATCAATAGAAATGATGTGTCAGAGGAATCAGAGCATAAAGCAAATGTACAAATGTGTTTGTAAGTTGGTTGTACATCCTTGTTCCTATTAGTGGTAATAGTATTACCTTGATAGTATTTTCCACACACTAGGCAAGCATAGACATTCAAATGAGAAAGTGAAACTGAGCATACTTTCTCAAAGTCAAAATCTAGCATGTGTCTGTTGATGGTATCTAGGTAGAGATCTCTCGATGGCTCGACCTTTTCTTTAAGAGGTTCAAAAGTCTCTGGGTCTTGTTCAAGACGCTGACGTTTTGAATTTGGTTCCATTTGGTTGCGTTGATGATGTGTCCTTGGCACAATGTGTGCAACATAATGCGGCTTAAAGGGAAATTCAAAGATGAAATATCCAAAGACCGGAGAACCACCAAGCCACCCCCAAGGTAATTTGGAATCCAAAAATTTAGTCTTTTTTCAAAAAAGAAAATCTGTGATTCCCATTTTTGTATATTACAAGATACTTTAGGCTAATAAACTTCAGGGCCAATATATATATATATATTCATATTCATATCTACAAAGAAAGAGGTGTGTAGATAAAGAAGTAAGATAAAGATATTAATTATACATTATATTATAAATTATATTTTATATTTTATTAGTTCAATATGTACATAATATAATTTTACCCCGTTTATTTTATTATTGTTATTATTATTTGTGAGACATTTGTGCAGAAATTTGATGATCCATGGGACTTTGATTAAGCAAAATATTGCTTAATTATAGACCTGTAGATCATGTACAAAGAAGTATTTACTTGTGGTTGTTTTATATTTAAGTAAATCCACTAATTATAAATTTATATATCTAATATATTTAAGCTTTTTATTATTCTCTTATTTTCTTTCTTTCTTTGTTTGATTGATTGTATATATTATATATGTGAAAAAAGGAATCAAGAAAGAAAGAAAGAAACAACATTAACTCATGTTCTTATATATAAAGTCACATAGACCACAAGATGTGTAGAAATGGACTTCTTTATAGTTAATGAAGCTGATCTACAGACACGATATATAGAAATTACAATAAATGGATATATAATTTGTTTCAATGGTAACGAATTTAAATTATTTCTTTATAAAAAAAATTAAATTAAATTAAATTAAAAATATTTTAAATTTTTTTTAAAAAAAAGAAAAGAAATATTATTAGTCTTATATATATTTTTACAGCCAAGAAATAGCTGAGTCTTTGTCAGTCATAGATCTCTGGGAAGGAAAGTGAGAAAGATGGTTAAGCCAACCAACGTGTCCGTTAGCTGTAGGTTGCGTGTATCTTTTGTCGACGTTCAAAGCGCGTTTGTTTACTTTTGTGATTTTTTAAATAATTTGTGTGTCCGCTATCTAGTATTGCTTTCCTTGACTATTATTTTATTATTATTGTTATATACATACATTTATAATTATTTTTTATATTTATATTTATATATAATATATATATATTCTTTATAAAACAAAAACAAAAAAAAAGTCGACCCATCTTCTATTTCTTTCTTCCTTCCCTTCTTCCCTTCTCTTCTTCAACCTCTTTAACTTCTTTATCTTCTGTCTTTATTCTTTTTACCTCCTTTCATTTCTATTCCAAAGTAGATTGAGTTCATCCACCGCAATCTTAAAATCGACCTATTTTTTTTTGGCTTTTTTTTCAAGTGTTGCATTTCGTGTGTATTGAAAATGGCTTCCTTTGACGAAAATACAGAAATAGATACAACTGGCAATCAATTGGACTCATCCGCCATCCACACAACTCCAAATGTCACAACAGATACACCCAACGCAACCTCTGTAGATGCCGGACCTGTACAGGCTTATGCTAAACTTGAAGGCGAAGACTTTTGTTACTATATTCGCACACTTCAAGTAACACTGGGCAGAAGAGTGACCAACCCAGACAACGTTGACATTCCACTCGGAAACACAAAATCTGTCTCTAGACAACACGCACGTCTATTCTACAACTTCACCACCCAACGGTTTGAGATGATGGTGTTTGGTAAGAACGGCGCGTTTGTGAATGAGCAGTTTGTTGAAAAGGGTGTTACTGTACCTCTTGAAAACAGGTGAGTCTAATACTTAAGGATATTAAAATTAATGTACAATAAAATATACATACATGCACACATACATATATATACATATATATATAATATATAAATATAAACTGAATAAGAAATATCTTAATAGGACAAAGATTCAAATTGGTGAAGTATGTTTTATTTTTCTCCTGCCACGTATGGACATTGAAGAGGCACCGCAGAATGAGAATTATGGGTATATATCAGCACCACAGCAGCTCGAGAAACAAAGTACGCTCAGTCAACGAAAGGAAGAGCTCCGGGAGAGTGTGGGAAGGGAGGACCGGATGAGTGTAGACGATGGGAATGAGACACCAGAGCCAAATCCATATGGCAGTAAAGATGCCAAACCACCTTACTCCTATGCATCTCTCATTGCACAGGCAATCAATTCGACAAATAACAAACGAATGACTCTAAACGGTATTTATACCTACATCACAACACACTATCCGTATTATCAAATGGCACAGAATGGCTGGCAGGTAAATTATTACAAGTCTTATTTCAATTTCATTCAAAGAATAAAATATACATATAAAGGAAGTGAAGGAAAGGAGGATCATTGTAGTAAAGTGCTGAGATTTATTGAATTTTTTTTATCTGTCTCTTTGTGTCTGTATATCGGTATATCGGTATATCTGTCTGAAATATTGCCGCTCTGTCACTCTGTCACTCTGTCATTCTGTGCATTTCTCGCATTATTTTTGTGGGGAATTTTCTTTTTTGGATTTTTTTTTGTAGAACTCGATTCGACACAATTTATCTTTAAACAAAGCATTTGTCAAGGTTCCGCGCGGGGACGCTGAGCCAGGCAAAGGGGCATTTTGGACTATTGACACAAGTGCGGAACCACAATTTACAAATGGGATCTACAAGCGGAATAAGAGAGTAGCCTCAAAGGGACCGACCAGTGGATACACCAGTCCTGCTGGTGGAGAATCATCCAAACGAATAAAACGAGAAACATCAGACAGTGAAGATGAGCAACAACATCATCATCACCATCATCAGCAACAACAACAACAACAACAACAACAACAACAACAACAACAACAACAACAGCAGCAGCAGCAGCAGCAGCAGCAGCAGCAACAACAACAACAACAACAACAACAACACAACCCTCAACAAAATATCCATCAAAATCAAAATCAGCATCACCAACAACAACATCAGCAGCAGCAAAATCAACATCAACAGCAACAACATCAGCAGCAGCAACATCAACATCAACAGCATCAACAACAACCACAACCACAACAACCACAGCAACTACAACAGCAAGTACAACAACAGCAAGTACAAGTACAGCAGCAGCATCAACAACAACATCTACATCAACAACAACTACAACAACAACATCAACAAAATCAGCACCATCAATCATCAGTTCAATCTACTGTACCAGATAAGATAGCCGATAGCTCTGAAACAACCAGTCAAGATAATATGACTGGCAAATTGCAGGCATCATTACCCGCACAACCTTCTCCTGTAACATCCACCACTACTTCAACCCCAAGGCCATTGCATGATACAAGACCACCACCAGGAATTGCTGGAAATCACACACCTACATCGAATTCGCATGTGCAGGCACAATTGCAGATGCAGCTCCAAAACACTATTCGTCAGCATTTGCTCAACCCAGTTCAGTATCCACTCCCAGCTTCTATTGCCCAACTGCTTCCTCAGGCTATCGCACAACTTCCTCCTCAGTTGGCTAGTCAATTATCAAGCACACTTCAATCAGCGTTAAGAGCACACGGTAACCACCCAGGGCTAACTCAGCAACAGCCTCAGCAACAGCCTCAACAAACGCCAGTACCAATGCAGATGTCAATGCAGATGCCAACACAAGCACCACAAGCACACGTATCCACTCCAGTACAAATTCCAGTGCAGACACAAACCCCAGCACCAATGCCAGTACAAACGACAATTTCAACGACATTACCGTCAGTGACATTAGCACAATCTACGCCTGTGTCTGCGCCTGTGTCTGCGCCCGTGTCTGTTACAATGTCTACACCTGGGTCTGCATCTGTGCCTGCCTCTGTGCCTGTGCCTGTGCCTGTGCCTGTATCTGCATCTGCATCTGCATCTGCAAACACACACAAACCAGCACCTACGCCCACACCTACACCTACATCTATATCTACACCTACACCTACACCTACACCTACATCTGCACCTACATCCACACCTGCACCTACATCTACATCTATATCTACACCTTCACCTTTACCTGCAACTGCACCTACACCTACACCTGCAGCTACTATAGTATCTGCTCCGGTGGGATCGGCGCCACAGGCTAGAATTTCCCCAGTACCGGTTTCTGGAATACCAGCACTAGGCACTTCAGCACAGCCTGTGTCAGTAGCACAACCAACTTCAACCGTTCAGCCGATGCCAATGACAATACCAATGACAGCACCTACCACTTCAGCAGCACAATTAGCTACAGAATCTGAGCAGGTTACACCAACGCCTGCTGCCCAAGTACCAACACCGTCTGTGGATTCAGTACAACCATCAGCAGCAGCATCAACACCAACACAATCACAGCCAACCAATTCAGCAGAAAGCACTCTCTCAAATCCTCCTACCACTCCAAAACAATAAACAATAAAGAAACAAAAACAAACATAATGAGATTCACAAACCATATATGTATATGTATATCTATATGTATATTTATATATACACACAAATCAGATTCACCTCTTTCGTTCATATTTCTTCTTTATACTTCTTTATACTTCCTTATACTTCCTTATACATCTTTATAATTTCATTTCTCACTTATATCTCTTTATTATTTATTCGTACTTTTCTTTCTTTATTTTATTTGATTTAATTTTCGTATTTTTCTCCTATTATTACCATTATTATTATTACCATTATTATTATCGTTGCCCTTTGGCGCACTCAATAAAGAAAGGAAAAGAAAATAATTGTGTTGTATATATATATATATATATATATAAAGTCGTTCCAGAAATGTATTTTTTTTTATGTATAGCATTGCTGTTTGGTTGAAATCCAGCCAGTCACACACAACCACATACTTTATACTCGTCAAAGCAAAAAACCCATAATTATCTTGTCCAGAACGTTTTAGCTGCCACGACCATTATTACGACTATCACCAGTGCTACTAATACTAATTCTTATTAATAATAATATTTTTGTAATAATACGTAATTATCATTATTTCGAGTAAACCAAAAAAGAAAATCAGATAGACACACTATACACTACACGCTACACGCTACATCCATATACAAGTACACATACTTTAATGTCGACTGAAAAATTAAGAGGAATTGGACAGTTGTCAGCTGAATGTCAACGCTTGGTTCGTCGCCTTGCACAAGTAGACTCGATTCCACTCCAAAAAGAAGTCGCCACACTCTTGAAAAGCGATTTACGTACATTTGAACATGATATTCAAGTAAGATGAACAAACTCATCTGTCATCAATGCTCATCCACAACAGCAAGTAAAACAACTTGCAGAAGAAGAAGATAGTCTGGCTTCAAAGGAATCTATTCTTGGTAAACTAGCAGAATACGAGACCCAGTTCAAGCAGTAAGTAAGTTTCTTTTTTTTCTTCTTCTTTGGTTGTTGCTGCTGCTACTTGAAAAATAAAGAAAGAACAAACGAACAAACGAACAAACGAAAGCAAAAACAAAATAGTTCATTTTCTAGTAAACTATATATACTTATTTATTTATGTATAAACCTACTAGACTTCAAATTAGCTCACGTCAAGCTATATGGCAATCTAAACAAAGAGTCGAACAACAAGATCGAAAGCAACGTGAAGAACTGTTTGGAATGCGTGGAAAAATGGATGAAAAGAGCTTTACCGAGCAATATGAGCTCAAGCAGAGACACACACACGGGTAAACTAGCAGAATTATATATATATATAGAAGACTGGCTAACTGACTAAATAATTGGTTGATGTGTATTATCGAATTTAGAGACCAAAGGTTACTACAGGCTTCTTCAGAGGTAACGGAAGCACTTGGAAAGACAAGAAAATTGATGGAGCAAGAATTGGAAAAGAGCTCCTATTCTGCAATTATGTTAGGTAAGAATTCATTTGTTTTCTTTTATTATTATCATTATGTATACATATACACAAGTTTAATAGTGAATAATTAAAACATGGGTGTTTATTAACTAATCTAAATTTCAAAAATAAAATAATATAGCCGATTCTTCAAAGACCCTTATGGCAACACGATCAGAATATGCCAACCTTGGATCTCTTATGACTATATCGAAAAGATTGATCTCTCAACTAGAGTCCGCAGATTGGTTTGATCGAGTCTCTCTTTTGTTGGGAGTATTTCTGTTTTGTGGAGTGGTACTGTATATTATCAAGAAGCGTACTTGGGATGTAGGTATTTCGTGGATCGGTTGGCTCAGCGGTCACTCCACAACCACAAAGACCATCAAAGACGCTACTGTCACCGCCACAACTGCACTTCTCTCAAACCCAACAGCAACCATTGCAGTAGTTTCGGAAGCTACTCCGTTGGTAGCTTCATTTATTGCCAGTACTACAACTCTTGAAGTACTTTCAGAAGTGTCTCCTTTGGCAACCTTGACTATTGCCAAAAAAGCAACTCTCGACATAGTTTCAGAAGCCGTTCCTGCGGTAGCTTCGTCTATTGCCAGCAAAGCAACTCTTGACATTGTATCAGAAGCAATTCCCGCGGTAGCTTCGTCTATTGCCAGCAAAGCAGCTCTTGAAATAGTCTCAGAAGCAGCACCCTCGGTGGCTTCGCCCATTACCAGCAAACCAACTCTTGAAGTAGTTTCAGAAGTGATTCATCTGGTAGCTTCGACTATTGCTAGTACAGCACCAATTAGGGATGAGCTATAAGCTTTTCGATTTTGATTTTGATTTCGGTTGATACTTTAGACTCCTTTACACACATACATATATAAACATTCATATAAATATAGTGTACCGAATTGTACCATATTTAATGATAATCTCCCATTAAAAATATATAATACCTGTTTGTTCGGTTTACTGTTTTTGTCTTTGTCTTTGTCTTTGTATTTCCATTTCTTTACTTTACATTGTTTTGTTTTATAAGCGTGATTCCGTGGGTGGTGAGTGATGGGTGCTTAAATATACCTTCTTTTCTCTCTCTCTCTCTTTATCTTTCTTTCTTTTTTGTGTGTCAATTATTAAGTTTTTAAAATATTTGATCATCCATACTGTACACGACTATCATGATTTATTGTCACTTGTGAAAAAGTGGGGTGATTGAATAATAGGCCACAATTGGTCGTCTTGATGAAGAATAGAAGTAAGAGTATTAGGTAAATTAGAAGAATCATTCCCTGCTGCCATCCACACATATTGTCTGACATTCTCTAATCTCTTCATTGCAGGATGTTGTTTTAAAGGAGAATGTTGTGTGCGTTCCTGAATCACTTCATCCTTGGCTTCACTAATCAGTGTCTGCCAATGGAATGGAAGGGCCTGAATCTCATCCGAGAAACTAGTGCTGGTTAGAAATGCACCCATGTCTGGGCTACTGAACAAGCCAAGTAAATAGCCATAGGCAAACGGTTGATCACTCTTGTCTTCGTATTCTTCTGACAAACGTCGGTCTGGATTTCTAAATGAAGAAGGAGATTGAAGAGGAGGAGACAATGAACGGGTTCGTCGTTCGAGAGGTGATAGAGAACGATATGGATTTATTTCTTCTGGGCTGCTCATGAAAAGAAAAGAAGAAAGCAAGTAAATAAAGAAACAACAATAAAGAGTAAAGTAAAATAGAATAAAAGACCGTGTAAGATCTGTGAGAAATATATAATAAGATATAATAAAATTAAAGGTGTAATTTCCGAGGTGGAATGTATGCTATTTGTATAAATGTGTATATGTTATATTGTATGTTTTATAAATATATTCTCTTGTTTTATGTGTGTGTATGTGTGTGTGTGTGTTTTAAAATAATAATAATAATAATAATAATAATATAATATATTGTAGTAAAAAGTATGGTCTTCTTTAAACTGCAGGTTGTTCGGTGTACAATGGCCTCGGACTCCAGAGATTGCCCATATGCTCAAATAAGCTCCGTGGGCGTGTTTGTATAGATTCCATTGTCGGACGACGTCGAAAACTCTCCATCAATGAACGTCGTCTATGTACAATTGGCTGAGCCGGGTGCAGATCACGGTAAACAGAAGACCGGGGGTCGTGTTTGAGCTGGAGACTAAATTGATCCAGATTGTGGAGCATGTCTGCCAAACGATCACTGGCCAGTTGTGGCAGAGGTTTATTCATCAGAGACAGATCGACATGACTAGCATCTGTTCTGCGCTCATTTTCTAGGGCTTGGGCATATTGCTGGCGCAAGACATTTGCAGCAAGGTCAATCTCCTCTGTCGTGACAGCTTCCCGGAGACCCTTGTGAGCGGAAGAAGCCTCGAGTAGTAAGCACAGACAATCGTGGCGGGCATATTTGGCAGATTGGAATAGGACTGTAGCAGGTTTTGTACGACGAGTCTTTGGATCAAGAAAGTCAGCACGTAAGCCTATATTGGCATTTGCACACAAGAGGATATCAAGGGTATCGCGGTGGTCCCCGTTTGCCAATAGTGAGAAAAGAGGACTTTTGCGACTTGAATCGATAGCATTGACATTAGCTCCGTGTTTTAAAAGTAATTGAATGATCGATTTAGGCTCGTTACAGAAGCGGGAAGCATAATGTAGAGGTGTCCAACCATCACCATCGCATGCATTTGGATCGGCCTTGAAGTCCAACAGTAGCTGGAGTGAAGCAAGGGGTTTAGGACAATGTAAAAACAAGGCATGTATTGGCTGTATATTGTAGACATTGCCTATCGTAGGTTCTGCACCCTCTTGTAAAAGTATCTCCAATAGGCGGTAAGGATTCTGATGGCTTGAGACAGCGATGTGCAAGAGAGTGTATTCTGTAGCAGGATCACGGGTATTGACCAATAAAGAAGTGTCTGAAGAGTGATTAAGAAAGTACTGCAGGGAAGTTAGGTCGCCTAGTTCAACAGCCTGCCAGATAGAAATATCTGGCTTGGACTCGACCATTTCAATGGTTGAGCTGATGGGATCTTGTGGTGTTTCTGGAAGTAAGACTGGAGTATCTGATGTGTTTTTTTGGGGAGATAGCCAGGATGACAACCAGAGAATTACAGACATGTTATGTATGTAAAATAAAAGAGAAAGAGAGAGATAAAAGAGAGAATATCAGTTGTTGGAATGAGTTGGCTTGCAACATGTTAAGCTACTTTAACAAACATGAGAAAAAAATCCTCCTCGGGACTTACCATGGGTGTCGTTTGTGTCTGACAAATCCACTTCAACGAAATGAATTTCATTCTGTGAAAAGAGAAATAAGAAAGTATTTGTGATGAGAACGCCTCTAATACTTGAGTTTATTTCTGTTGACCCAAACCTCTTTGTTAAATGGATATTGACACAAGGTAGAATACATCCCACTGATATTAAATCAATTGAATAAAGAGATATTTAAGAAGCAAAAGAAGAAGAATAAAAAAAAAGAATAAACTGGTAAATAGATGTTCTGAATCTGTTAAAGATGTCTATTTAATGAAATCTAAAAGATGATAACTAATTAATCCTATATATATATAAGCTGTTAACATTCTCGATAGTCTGTCAAGGAAACATATTGATCCGGAGCCAGTTCTCGACAACTGAACTAAGAAAAAAAAATGAGAGGTAGAGAGAATACTAAGCTGTAGGTCAATTCTTGCGCTTGGACTTTCTTTGTCCCCTTGACCTTAATTATGGATTCAATCACCTCCTGTTGGAATTCATACCTCTTGCAATCCCTCTAATCCTCCTACCATTTTTCATCCCTTTTTCTATATATGTATCTATTCTTTTTAATATTTTTTATATAGAAAAAATTATACATATTTATATATGTACTAACAATATTAAAAAAAAACCATAGATATAGAAAATGGAAATGTAAAAAAAAAGAAAGAAAATGGGGGTAGGATATGGTTGACAGGTGACGTCGACGTGTCTTGATGGCATTCCCCATAAAGAAACCACAGGGGATGCACGATAATTGAAAAGAGAAAAAAGAGGGGGGGTGAAAGGTGTTACAATAGATGATGTCATTCGCTTCATAGATAGTGTGCGTTCTACAGCATTAGAAAAGACATTGTTAATATCACAAAAAAAGCTAATTGATTGCAGTCTCAAAGTACTTGTGCTATTAATATTAGTAAATGTATATATGTACACAAGTGCATTTGTGTAGATATATAAATTTCTTGGGATCTCAAAGTGTAGCCTAGCGGAGAAACAAACCATCATATTATCGGGGATAATATATGTCTGTACTCAGCCATGAATAATAACTAAAATATACTATATTTGGAAGTACATGGTTACATCTTAAGAGTCATTCTACAAATTTGGGGTACAAAGTATAAAATACAAAATTACTTTGAAGAAAATTAACAACAGTGCACAGGAGGAGTGTTATCAAGTAAAGGAAGCAAGAGTATTATATACATTTATATATTGTATTATTTCATTTGACTGTTGCTGATATATATATATGGACTACCATTAAAGCATGAGATGAAAATTAAAAGGTTAAATTTTGAATTAGATTTTATTTTGAAAATACACTAATGTATATATATTTAAAGAAAAACAAATAAAAGCTTGTTTGGAATTCTGGAAAGAACGAAGTAATGATGCGTTGAGTGTATGAGCATAATAATTGGCCTTACCTTGGCTCACCATACTCACACCTGAGATCTCCCGTGATTTGTGGCTGTTGCGTGGCAAGGCGAGCTAGCAAACCATTGTTGGTAATGAAACGGCCTGGCATGAAACCAGTCTGATGTAAGGTGATAAACGGACCAATACAAATGCAACGTCTAGCAGTAAGGAGCTTTGTGAATACTTTGGCGTCACAATTGATCAAAGAGATCAGTCGCCGGTTCTTCAGCAGGGTGGGGTTACCAGATTTGGGAAACAGAACTACTCTAATTTATTTTTCTAAACATTTTGTACTTTGAATTTGCCTTCTTTTTCTTTTGGGTGTGTGTGTAGTGAAATATTCTTTATTTAATAGTGTAGTACATGTATTGGTTGTAAACATTTAAGACGTAAAGTCAAAGTAGACAGACACAAGATGAGACAAAATAAAATAAAACTTTGTAGTACTATCTCAAGTCAGAAAGAAGAAAACACCACACGTAAGCCAATTTTAAATAAATAAATATATAAGAGTTATAACATAATATGTTGACAAGACTACTTGCATAGATATTCAGCAAGGCTCTAATTACAAGGTGTTGCATGTCATTTTGCTTAAACTTGAATGTAGCTTATATGTTCAAATTTATGAAAAATAAACATATCTGTATATGTAGATATCTGTTTTATGTAAATTTTATTTCTTTAAATTTAATTTTCCTTTTTTGCATTGTCTGGGCATAAAAAGGCTGTAGAATCGATTGCGTTTTGTTCCTTTTCTTCGACTTGTATTTGGCTAGCAAAACCCTTTTTTATACATTTGTATATTTGTCTGTATATACGTGTGCGTACATTATACACACAAATATTTGTACATAAATACTTACATACATACACACATACATACGCTTATTATATATTCATTCTTTTGATTCTTTCCTTCTCCGTCTTTTCGTGTGTGTATCTCTCTCTCTTTCTTTCTTTCTTTCTTTCTTTCATTTCTTTCTTCCACTTCTTTTTTTCTTTTCTTTTTTCTCTTTCTCTTTCTCTTTCTCTTTCCGCATGCCTCCTGTTGCTCCTACAAGTAATGGTTATTACAGTGCCATCTCAACTACTACGCTCCCAGTATATGGTCCTCAAGTAGTTCCCTCGTCTTCAACCAGTCTAATCTCGACCACAAATGGATCAACTCAAAATGGTGAAGAGATCTCGACCATCTTCGTGGTCGGATTTCCGGAAGACATGCATGAAAGAGAATTTCAAAACATGTTCATCTTCTCATCCGGATTTGAAGCTGCAACTCTCAAAGTACCTTCAAAAGATGGAGAAGAAGACCAAACTGCAATTGCAAATGGAAATCCCCGCAAACAAACAGTCAGTAATCCCTCAATACACTAATACCTTTTTTTTTAAAAAAAAAGAAAAGGAATTAAATATTTATTTGTGTATGTGTGTCTGTCTGTCTGCCTGACTGTCTGTATAGATTGGATTCGCCAAGTTCCGTACTCGTCAAGCAGCATTGGAAGCACGCGATACCTTGAGTGGGCGTAGGGTAGACGCTGAAAAGGGATCGGTACTCAAGGCAGAGATGGCAAAGAAGAACCTCCACACGAAGCGTGGATTATCCAATGAGCAGCAAGGACAGCTTATTTTGGCACAGTCACTGCAGGCGACACAGCCATCTCAAACACCGCCACCTGTTCCTGTGCCTGCACCCACGAACTCGTACCCCATGCTGGCATCAAAACGATTCTCTCTCGCCCCACCCGGCAATTCTGCTGCCTATGAGGCCTTTTACTCTGTTCCGCTTCTTTCTGAACTTCTTCCGTCAGATTATTACCCAGATTTTTATGCAAATCCTGATCTCTTTTCTCCCACAACTCCAACCACTCCCGCTATCCCTCCAATCACAAACAGCACCACTCCCACAAATATCACTACCTCAAACACCAATACAAACGTAACCAATACTAGCATCAATATCAGCACAAATTCAAACACCAGCACCAGCACCAGCAGTAGCACTAATAGCAATAGCAGTAGCAATGCCAATATCAATACCAGCATAAATACCAACGTCAATTCTATAACCAACACCAACACCAGCAACACTAACAACACTAACGGCACTAACATTAATACCACAACTACCACCACCAACAAAAACAACACAAACATTACAAATACAAATACAAGTACAAGTACTTCCACCAATAGCACTAGCACTAATAATACTAGCATTAACAGCACCACTAGCATAACCACTACCAATACCAATACCAATGCAAATACCAATGCAAATACCAATACCAATATCAATCCTAATCCAAATCCAAATCTAAATCCAAATGCGAATACAAATGCCAATACCAATACCAATACCAATACCAATACCACATCATCGTCATCCACAACAAACCCCATAATTGCCACTCCAAGCGATTCAGTATTCGCAGCAAGAGCTCAATCCTTTGAGAATCGCAACCCTTCTGTTGCTGATATATTTGCTCCCATGCCATCCACATCCTCTTCTCGTCTCCCAGCAGGCTTCAATCCTGGCCACCGCTTCTCATCCAAAAGCGTGTTAGATATGGAAAACGACGCTCCTTTCCATTATCTCTCAAAGTCTACACCACTTCACTCTTCTAGTTTCACAAACGTAGCTGCCTTGTTCAAGCCTCCCCCAAGCCCAGCACACTACAAGACGTCATTTTCCACTACACATATCAACAACATTAACAGCATCAACAGCATCAACAACATCAACAACATCAACAATAATTCTCATCCTCATCCTCATCCTCATCCTCATTCTCATTCTCATTCTCATTCTCATCCTCATCCTCATCCTCTTCATCACCCTCATCCTCATCCTCTTCCTCTTCCTCTTTCTCATCCTCTTCCTCTTTCTCATCCTCACGCTCTTCCTCATTCTCACCCTCATTCTCACAATATCATACCTACTTCATCTAACACCAATGGTTTGAGCAGTGTATTGGAAGAACCATCTGCATATGACCATACACCCACTCCTACATCAATTACGCCCATCCATGATGAAGGTTTGACCATGCCTGGAGGTCGATTCAGTGGTCTTACCATCAATACAGCTATCACCAAAGAGAGTCATCTAATGTCACCGCCACCAAATGTTACCTCGCCAACCACACACCGTGTATTTAATATGATCGGAAGCATGAATCCATCTGATCAGAACCCACCATGCAACACTCTTTACGTCGGAAATCTTCCACCCAATACCAACGAAGATGAATTGAAGATATTGTTCTCAAAGTGTTCTGGTTACAAGAGAATGTCTTTCCGCAACAAATCAAACGGACCAATGTGCTTTGTTGAGTTTGATGATGTTCAATGTGCAACCCAAGCCCTCCAGGATCTTCATGGAAATATGCTGTCCAACTCTGTAAAGGGCGGCATTCGTCTATCTTTTAGCAAAAATCCATTGGTAAGCTTTATATATACATATATACATATATATGATTTGATTATGGATTATTGTTTTTTAACAATAAAAAAAATGTTTATTAGGGTGTTCGTCAACAGAACGTGGGTAATGGTCCTAACTCATCTACTTCAAACGGCATAATGCATTTTGGAATGACTAGTCCTCTTGGACCTCATGGATTTCCATTTGGTAACAGAAGAGAAAGCCTTTCCTTTGATCCTCAGCTATCATAACCTTTCCATCATCCGTTTGTTCGCATTTGTTTATTTATTTCAACATTTACACAAATCACACTTTCTTGCATCTTCAAGAAGAAGAAAAATAAGAGGAAGAGGAAGAGGATGAGGAAGAGGAAGAAGAAAGCAAATCAACTTCTTTATTTGCAAATCGCATTTTTTTTCTTTAAAAATATTCCTTTGACTTTAGTTTGTTTATTTGTTATAGCATTTCTCTCTTTCTTGTTCTATTCTGTACCTCTTTTTATTCTTCAACTTGCATCCATCATAACTCAAACTAACCCCATATTACAACATTCAATATTCATATATTGTATTCTATATAGAATATACACACCTCACCTACCCACCCATTCTACCCATTCACTTTCTCACTCTCACCCTCACTCTCACACTTACACTTACACTCTCCCGTATTTTATATATCTATCTATCTATATTTCTATATTTCTATCTATCTATATTTCTATATTTCTATATATCTATTCATCTATCTATATTTCTACTCACAAATTTACAAATTTACAAAAAATACAAGCTTATATTTATATGTACAAAAATCAATCTATAAAGCATCAATCAATTGAAACCATCCAAATAATACAATAAGCAAGCTTTCAACTTTCAACTTCCAAAAAAAGAAGGAAAGAGAGAGAGAGAGAGAGAAAAAAAAACACAAATGGACTAGTGATGTCAGCAGAATAAACCCTTTCCGCCCATGCCTGTCCATTAATACAATTTCTTACTGTAAACAACCATCTAATTTAAACTCAGGATCTTCGGTGTAAAGAAATATTGGCAAATAAATATATATATATAAAATAATAAAAAATAAAATAAAAAAAAAATAACACGTCCACAGAGCCAGTTGTTTATTATTATTGTTATTATTAAACAGCGCATCCTTCTCCCTCTCTCTCTCTCACATACTTCTTCATTTACCCTCCCCGCTCTTCTTCCCTTTTTTCATTTTTTTTAAAAAAATAAAAAAATCCGCAATGTTCGCCCTTCGTAGTGCTGCCATCCGTGCTGCTCCTCTTGCTGCCCGCCCTGCCGTTCGTCCCTTCTCTATCCTCGGTGCCCGTCTTTGTAAGAATCCTCAATTGTTATAGTCATCACAGCGCGTCATCTCTTTTATTTACTAATATAATTTTTATTATTATTATTAAGCTGGTGCCGTTGGTCATGCTAACCCCAGCAGCGTTACTCCCGGTGGTAAGGCTGGTGAGGTCCCCACTGACCTTGAGCAGGCCACTGGTCTCGAGCGTATCGAACTTCTTGCCAAGTTGGAGGGTAAGGAGCTCTTTGACATGGAGCCCTTGCAGGTTACCCACCTCGGTACCCCCAAGAACCCCATCGTTGTTGAGTCCCACGATCCTATCCGTTTCGTTGGCTGCACTGGTAAATATACATTTCTTATAATTAATTTTTTTAACAAAAAAAAACAAATCAAGATTAGGAGGGTAGATAAGTGAAATAGTGGGAAACGTATAGATAGTTATCTATACAATTATTATTATTGCTATTGCTATTTTGTCAAATGAATATTATCGTACACCCATAAAATCCACTCCAAAAAAAACAGGCCACTTTAATGCAAATCTTTAAAACCAAAAACCAAAAATATATATATATAACTAATTTATATATATATATTTATTTATGTATTTAATATATACTTCTTTATATATTTTCTCTATTTCTTTTATGTTTATTGTGAATTTTGAATTTATTAGGTTTCCCCGTTGAGTCCCACGACGTTATCTGGATCAACCTTGACAAGTCCCACGAGCACGATCGTTGCCCCGAGTGCGGTTCCGTCTTCACCATGAACTTTGTCGGTTCTGAGGATGAGCACCACCACTAAAGCCAAAAACAAAAACAAGAAAAAAAACAATTTAAAAAATAAAGAAAAGAAAAGCTAAAAGCTGTGACAAAAAATATAATTATATAATTCCTCTTTAGATGGAAAAATGTAAAAAAAAAAAACCTCTTTATCTTAGTATATATGTTGGGGTTGTTTTTAAAATAAATAAAATAAGTATTATATACGCACAACATACAAAGCACATTTGTACGTTTATACATTTTATTGATTTTTATATATACATATATAAATGAATATGTAAGAAAATTGATATAAAATGCGTGTAAGAAAGAGAGAACAAAGAAGAGAGTCTTTCTCTTTCTCTCATTCACTTTATCAATTACTTCACTTCCTATTCACCTAAATGTATATCGTTTGCGTGTCCTTCTTGTTTTGCTTATTCTCATCTGCCCTGGGTATGCCAACCCAGGTACAAGACATTGCAGTAGCACGTTTATTTGAATCAGAGCATCCTACCCAAGTCTGTCCAATTGACTGGAATTCTCTCAATCTCACTCACGTACTAGCGTCCCCGTCGGTTGGACCTTTTAATGGTTGTGGTGGTTGTCTCAATGTAACAGATGTACCTCTCACTCGACACACCTATGTTCTTGCAATTGACAGGAGTCCAACTGCAATGCTCGAGGTAAATATATCGATATAGCTTATTCTTTTATGCGCAATTTATTTATTTCAAACGTTATTATTTATTTTAGCTCGGGTTAGGTGCATTTGAAGATTTGTTTGGATCAAGTGAAATAGGCACTCAGAAGGTTATAGCCTGGTCAATTACAGGCCAGTCATTCTGTTCTCATCTGTTGTATCCACAAACTCAACATCTGCCTACACTCACACCATCATCATCACCAACACAATTTTTTCCTTCATAGTCATCTACATTACCAGGCGTCAATTGACGTCAATTGGTATCAGTTTATCAAAAAAAATAAAATTCACCCACCCACGTTTGGGCACATTTGCACACATTTGCACACATTCTCCGCAATGGAATCTATTTAGCTCAATGTACCCACCGACCCCTTTAACAATATACCAAAAAAAAATGTGTTTGCAATTATACTTATTCAGTAACAGTATTACATTACTGTATATATAAATATTTATAGAGGTTGGCCTTCTATACTTCTTTATACTTTATTTTCATTTTATTTTCTACGTTGATTTGGTTTGCTTTTGTTTGGTTTAATGTAAGGTAAGGTAAGGTAATGTAATTTAATTTAATGTAGTATATGTTTATGTATATTTATATATGTTTCCCCTCTTCTTCTTCTTCTTTATCTTTGAATAAGTTGTGCCTGAAGTTCAGCAAGTCTAGCTAATACAGCAAGAGTACTTTGCTGCATATGTGCCATCAATTCTTGGAATCTCCTTTCCCGACCATCGGCATCTTCTTTTCGCTGTGCCTCTCTAGAGGCCTCTAGTTGCTCTATTTCCTTTGATCTCTGGGCCGCTTCTTCAGCGCGTTTTGTTTTTCGTTCTTCGGATTGTTGAAGATGGCTCAGAATTGCCTCCAACAACTCCTAAATACATACATAAAAAAAAAAAAGGGGGGGGGGGGGGGGGGGAAAAAATTATTATTATTATTATTATTATTATTATTGTCAGTCATCTTTGTTTTTAATTTATATATAATTATATAATCATAACCATATAAACATCCGCTTACTCGTTCGGTACGTGTTCCAGTAACAGCTTTAGACGTTTCGGTTGTGGGTATCGGATTAGTTGATGGCTGTAATGAATTTAGTGATGGTACTCCTGGTGGCAGTATGTGCGCTTCTGGTACTGGCACTGGCGCTGGCACTGGTGTTGATGCTGCTGATGATGTTTGTACTTGTGCAGGTGCTTGTGGTGGTGCCGAGGACTGCGTTGGTGTCGGTATTGGTGCTGGTGCAATATGCTGTGGTGCTGGTGCAATAGCTTGTAACGTTGATGATCGTGTTTGTGCTGGTGCGGAAGTCGAGGATGCCTGTTGTTGGCGAGATTGAGGTGTATGTGCAAATTTGGCTGGAAGGTTTGAACTTTGCCCACTACCACCAGTACCACCAGTAGTAGTAGCAGAGTTATTATTATTATGATTGTTGTTAGTTGCTGTCCTAGGCTGAGCAGTCTCGATTTGTCTATTCGAGCGCGATACACGTTCGTTTTGTGATTGTCGACTGTGAACGCCAGACGGAGGAGATGGCATTTGACGAATGCGAATAGGGGGTGGTGCGGGTTGGATGTGCTGTGGCTCGGGAGCGATTCGAACATTAGGGCGTGGGTGTAAGTGTGGATAGTGGTGGATATTGGAAGGTGGGTGGGGCTGGATAGGATGAGGCTGTATAGGGTGAGGCTGGATAGGGTGAGGATGCATGACCTGTCGACCATCGTCTCGTGTTCCAGCTGATAGGATGTGACGTTCGTTCGTGTGGGGGTTAGAAACGATCTGTCTTTGCTTGGCTCTACTGCCAATGTCGTCCATACGTTGGCCAGGAGTTCGTTTTCCAAGAACCAACTGTTTTTCGCTCTTCATATTCTGAACTGATTTCCACTAGTTATAAGATTAGGTAATCAGGATTTTGATTATTTGATTTATCTTGCTTTCATGTTCGTGTTCGTGTTCACGTCTATTTTACCTGGTGATAAACATCAGCCAATATCTTTTGATATGTGTCTGTGGGCTCTTCATGAGGACCTCCTGCGATGCCCTCTTTGCCATAGCGTGTCATGAGATCTTTAAAATGGACTCGAGCGTTGTGAGCTGTCAGAATTGGATCTTTAGGGTTTGTAACATGAAGGTCTTGAACGTTGTTGCAATGATCGGCTATTTGTTCCCAGAGACGCAGAGCACCTCCATGGGGAGCCATGAAGGGACAGAGAGCTAGGACTTGTTGAAGCAAGAGTTCGTTTCGACGACAGGTCCCATCGTTGTCAAATCGATAGCGAGGTCTGCGTGTGCGCGTTGCCGAGCCTTGGGTTGTACTCGGAGTAGCCATGGAGCCTGAAGGAGCCTCGTTGTCAGGATCCATAAGATTTGTTTCCACATCGTCTATGTCACTGCTTGATGTTTGACTTCCTTCACTTTCTCGATCCTTTGTGGTGGTCATAACTTTGGACTTATTTGTACAAATGTATACAAAAGAAAAAAAAAGAAAATAATATAAATATAAATATAAATATAAATATAATATATTTGAGTGGGCGTGTATAAATGTATGTATATGTTTTCTATACAAATGTATGTATATCTGTGTGTATATTAAATGTATCAATATATATATATATATATATATATATATATTATAAAATAGACGAGGATATAATTTGCTTATAAACTTGTGTATAATATATATATATATATTTATATATATATTTATGTATGTATCTATGTATGTATATTAAATGTATATTTAAAATATATAGATAATATTATTTTATGTATGTATATATATATATATATATATATTTATAATAAGAAGATTATGTACTTTTGATAGTGAAGAGATAGAGGTAAAAAGACAGAGGTCAAGAGCCTATAAATTGAGATAAAAAAAAGGAAAGAGAGAGAGAGAAGGGAGGGGGGGGGGGGGGGGGGGGAGAAGAGGGGAGAAGGAAGGAGAGAAATTATGAATATTCCAGGGGCTTGTTTTTTTATTTTTTTTTTTTATTTTTTTATTTTTG